CATAAATATCATTATTTACTTTTACTATTATCATTATTCCAATTATTACCGACTTTTACTGAAAATTTGCTTTAACTATTTAATATTAAACTAAAATAGTTATTTGCTTTTATCACGTCCCATTTCATTATCTTTGTCCTTGTTTGTTATCTTGAGCTTCTTCCTCATCTCTGCTCATCATCGTAGTTATTATTATCATGATAATCATTATTTGGCTTTACCTGTTTTCACACTGTCCTGTTAAATTGAAGGTAAAAAATGAGGCAATAAAAAGTTAAAGCAAAAAGACTGAGAAAAAGAGACTCAATTGAAAGGCTAAAAGAAAGTTATTGAGTCAAAATGCACGCGATGAAATGACCTTTCAAAGGAAAAAGAAGAGCAAAAAAATGAGCTTTAAATTTTGGCCTTTTGTGTAAAATGTATAACTGAACGGACAAACTAAACTAGTTGACCAAATTAGTTAAACTTGCTGTTGTTGTTTCAGCGCTGACAATAACTTTAATACGATCGATTGATGAGACCGACTTCATCTTAAATATCCTTGACTACTTTGTGAGTCAACAAAAGGAGCAAATTTTAAAGCAGCAAAAGTATCAACAAGCATCATCACAACAACGGCACAATAAGCAGTTAATTGATTATTAGCTTTCCCAGACTACTTGAGTACTTTTGCTTCTTTGCAGAGCAAACCCAGTGTCTTCATCCTCATCCTCATCTTTACCTCTGTTTCCAATGAAAACAAGAAAAACATGTAAATATTACATAGAAAACTGAGTTTCTTTCATTCTTAAATTACACTCAAATGACGATCAAGAGGATAAATAACTTGACAATGCCTGAAGCAAATGAAGAAGGTCAGTTGAAGGCTTCTTGTTCAGATTGACTAAAATAATTTCATTTGAATCTTTAATTGTTATCAAAGTAAACGAAAGGATTGATTATTTGTTGCAATTACCATTTGATTAGACACTCAACTATTGTCAAATGGTTTAATAATTTCCCTTTTAACTGGATTAACTTGTCGTTCAATTGTAAGCAAATAATCAATGAACAGCAAAAGAAGTAAAAAAAGGTATTGAAGGATAAAAAGAAGAAGAGAAACTCAACTTGGAACAAATCAGATTTTCTTAAGAATATCTTAATCATATGCTTATCAAGTTGTCTTCCTTTGCTTTCATCTTGTTTGAAATGAAAAAAAAGCTCAGAAGTTAAGAATCAGATTGATTGAGATGGTGCTCATGATAGTTAATGTATAAACATTTAATGATAATCATGATAATAATTTAGTTACATTGATACTAAATTGTTTGTTTATTTGCTCTGCTTATCCTTTGATGTTGCGTGTTTAATATCAAGGTGCCAATGAGATCGACAAATTTTGCCAATTCAAGCAAAAGTAGTAAATATATCAACTAATAAAATAACATTTCCTATCCTCAACTTAGATTGTCATCAACAACAAGGTAAATAATGGAGTAACATTATCGCAAAAATGGAGACAAATTAGTCTCATAACCCGTTCCTAACTGAATGTTAATATTACTTTCTCTTTCTCAAGTGTAATCTGATTGTAAATTGATTGTGTAACTATCAAGAAAACCCCTTTTCACTATCAACAGAATTTCAATTTTCCATCAAAACCAACAAGTTATAACACACATTGAAAGCTGAGAATTGAATGAATCAGGAATTGCATTTTTCCTCAAATAAAAGTTACTTTTTGTTCCCATTTTTACTCAAAATTATCGGGAAAAGTTAAATGCAAAAATATTTGAGTTTCAGTTGAAAACTTTCAGCTTATTCTCAATGTTTTCACTTGATGTGCTTTAACGTCAACAGACATTTTTTTACGCCAATTTTGGCTCGTTTTGTGTTAATTGCATAATTTCAGTCAACAATTTGCTTAACTGATTAACCTAATTAACTTTGTGCAATAAATTGAAATGATTAGCAATATTGGCAGTTTGTTTCCCTTCAAATGAGCTTCTCAGAAATGCAGACTGACCAAAAAGAAGAGAGTTTAACAGAACCAGACAAAGTTAAAGTTGAGCAGAAAAGTGAAAGAAGAGAAGATGAAAAGATGAAGAAAAGATGAAGGAAAGGCGGGAATGAATGAAAGAAGAAAAAAGAAGAAAGAAATATCTGAAAGAATAAAGAACGAGAAAGAAATGGAATTGTTTGTTTGCGCTCAAAAGTAACAACAAAAATGAGCCTCAAGTCGCCATCAATTTGCGAATCAAAATTACTACTTGCAATTGCGAAGCAAACACTTGTTTAACTTTCATTTATCAACCTGAAAAGATGTCATCCATTGAACTAATTTGCAATAAAAATCACCAATCTCTGAATTCCTATTATCGCAGCATCGATCAACCTCAACAATTCAACTCATTTCGTCCATAAATCTCTTTAAAACTGAATCAGTTCATTGCAATAAAACGCCATTTCTTACTGAACAAATATTTCCATCATTTCAAGATAAAACAAAAGATCATTTCACCATAAAAAGCAAACATTTTCATTATCTTTAGTCAAATGATTTACCATTTCATTGAATTTTTCTGAATAGCAAATGAAAGCGTCTCAAAATAACCTCAAGAATGTGCAAGTTTTGTCTCTTGCCGACTTTGCTTTGCAAATGCAATACAACAACAGTTTTTGTTGAATAAAGTTTAGCTGGGAAAAATGTTGACCTTTGAATAAAATGCGCCAAAACTGTTAACAGAAAGCATGAAATTGGCGCGCGCGCGTCTATCAAATGCGTGTTGATGCTTTTGTATCAATCTTATTGGTCCAAAGCCATGAACCTATAAAACTATCTGATAATAATAATAACATTAATAATGTTAATAATATTAAGTACAATAATAAATAACAAGTTCTTATAGGTAAACCAGTTTTCCTTGTTTACCTTGTTTTATTAATTTCAAGCGTAAAGGCAGAAAAATGTTGACTTTGCACTAATTTGGATTCACTTTTGGTGAGCCTTTAATTCCCATTAATAGTGGCACATTAAATTACATTTAATTACATTCAAATCTCTCAAATATTGAACATGAAAAAATATCAGTAGCAAATGCAACATTCATTTTTAATATAAACTTGGATAAAGATGATTTCATGATTTCAATTGTTGGCTAAATTGGCTTCACTTTAATTTACAATTGCAATCTAGTTTGAGCAATAATCTTTACCTAATTATCATCAGTTGCATTCCCTTGTTAAGGTAACTTGAGAAAGGAGCAAAAACAGTTGCTAAAACTGGTTTTGTGTGTGTTCACTTGAAATGTTTCAAATAATTGAAATTTTTCATCATCACTAACAAGTTTGTTAACGTTTAATTACAACAATTTAGCCTTCATCCTATTGCCCTATATATGGCGCTATTTACACCCTAAAGGCACCTTCACCTTTGTTTCACCGATCCTCATGATGAACCAATTATTTCAATGAAAACATTGTTAACTCTCATCAAACTGATCAACCATAATAATACACAAGCTAAATCAATATTATCATTTCATCTAATTTCATAACGTGATTAATTATTTTGCTAAACATTGATCGTTAACCCAGGCAACAGCAATCAGCTAACAAGAATGTCAAATGATAGCAAAGGAAAACTGAACAATAATGTTTTTTAACCAACAATAATCATTTCACGAACTGAATAAGAATCGCATTTTCAATTTAAATGCAAAAGTTCATCAATCAACTAGCAAAAATCAGTTCAATTAAATATTGATTTTCAAGTTTCCAGTTCGAAACTAATTAAAGGTTAGTGTGAGGCTATTAAACATTAATGGTCACATTTGCTCATCCAAACAATTAATCATTAAACTCAATAATCATATTCAATATAATTTATCAAATCTCTGGTTCCAAGTAATTACAACCTTGATTTTTGCATTTCAAAGCAAAGATTAGACTTTCATTTTGTCCCTTGTAATATCAATAACAAACCCACAATTAAATGTTTATTAAACGATGCTGAAAAAGTGTCCAAAAACTGAAGTTTCGGACAATTAAACAAATTTAAATAATTTCAAGTTTAAACAAAGGTCAAGATGAGTTTTAAATTATTAAATGAAAGCAACAAATCAAAGTCTTTGAAGCGAATCTTATGAAAAGTTGATCTTAATTTACCTTTAATATCTTATAATTATTAACTTGATCATTACAATGTCCATATAATTGATGTAATTGTCCATCAATAATAAACACTCCTTTAGATGCAAAATAAGCCCAAAAAAAGGCTTCCAATCACATTTAATCTAAACTTTGATATGCTTTAGGACATGGAAGTTTACTTGACCGTGAAATGGATTCCTCAATAATCTTGAAATTAATCTTGTTTCCTCCTGCACTCATGATTTCCGGTTTACCTGATTCTGCTTGAAACAAAACAAGTCTCGAAACAAGTTAACCTTTTTCGCGCCTTTATCCATCCTTAGCAACAAATATCACATTCTTGTACTTCATCATCAACATCATCTTAACCCTTTCTCTTGAAAATTCATCTTTTTTTTTATTCATTAACTTTTCCTTATCCTGTACATGTGACAACGGATGCAATCAAACGGATAAGGAAACACTTGATTTTTCATGATTGGAAGAAGAAAATTATAAAAGGAAAACTTTCGGGATTTCACTTTTCATGTTGATTCCATTTCTCACTGAAACCTGAGCAAATATTTTAATTTTATTGTCTTTTCTATTAATATTATTGAAGAAAGTTTCATTATTGATTCAATAATTATTATCAGAAGCGATAACAATTGAGATTAATATGAATTGAGACGGAAAATTGGTGAAAAAAAGAACCAATTATCACTGTAATTAGACTTAATCTTGACTCAATTAAACTGATAATCATGAAGTATTTCTTAATAATAAAGAAACATGAAAATGAACAAGTAAAAATATCAACATTATTCTTTGATCTCACAGAGTCTTGAGACTGAAAATATTTTCCTTTCTTTACCTCTCTTTTTTTCTAGGTTATCAGAGTTATCATGAAACAATATTATTGCATATTGGTTAATCCAAAAGACTTGGGATAACAAAAAATGCAAACCTAAGGTAATTTGATTGGAGCCATTAAGGTAAGTGTGCGTTTATGCGTTTTTTGTTCAATGTTGTCACACAACACTGTTATTCAGTTGTCAAGTTTAACTACTGATTGGTTAAGATGAAGATCAGGAATCAATCGACTTTGTTTCCTGAAATATGTTAATGTTAATAAGTGTGAGACATGATAACACTTGTAGTTGGAGAATGAAAAAATTTCAATGGAAAATGAGGAAAGACGAGAAGATGTTGATGATGAAAGAAGACGAGAAGATGATCCGTTTTATCGGCGCCAGAGCACCTCTTAACATGATTTGAACATCGTTACATGTTGATCAACATCTTCATACTGATACACCAAGAATCAAACATTATATAACAATATGGTTTCTGGCTTTGCAAACCGACAGTTGAAACTCATTAGGTAAATCATCACTTCCTTGATCATCATCTTAACCCTCATCTTCATCTTGATCTTTCATACCTCAGTTTATCAGAACGATGAAGCAAAAATTAAACCTCTCATTCCATAACAAACTCAAGTTTCACCAAACATTGCAATTGTCAAACTGTTACACTTTTAGAGTCGATAAATTTTTTCATTTCAATGAAAAAAAATTAGTTTTAATTATTTCAAAGTTTATGTGAAAATTAAACTCAAATTAAGGTAAAATGATTTCAATTGATGATAAAAGGTAATAAACATTGAGTTATTAATGTTCACTGAACGTTCATTAATTGAAATGATTTATTTGTTCAATATTATTTAACACTTCTTTACCTCTCATCTTCACAAGATGATCATGTTCATGGAATGGGTATTTCTAGATGTCAGTTGCTTTCTTTTCATGAAACTTTTCTCATTCATTGGATAAAATTATTTAGAGATGCAATTGAATGCTCTTCATGAAATCACTTCACTTCTTTGTTTCTTCCCGATTTATCATTATTATTATTTATATTTTTCATTTGTTTGATTTGCTCCAGTAAAAAAGTTTAATCAAACTCTTCTAACTTTCATTTGTTATCGCACAAACAACTTCCAAGTAATCTAATAATATTTGATAAAATAGTTTCTATTTCTCTTTACTAAACCATTGAGAACCGATTCCGATTCAAACTCGAACCAATTTCCTTCAGTCCTCAGACTGTTATCAAATTGTGCCGTTTCTTGATCGATATCATTGATCCATTTCAAGATTCGAAGTCAAAGGTTTTAAAATTGATGTAGACTTGATTTTGTCTTCACTTGTTATCGCAATCGATACAAGTGATTCTGATGTTATTCACAGCATTAAAAGTATGCTTAATCTTATTATTATTTTATAAGTTAATTAACTTGATAATCCTTTTATAATTGGCTCTGATTGCAAATGTAATTAAGTTTGTTGTTAACAACCTTTTCAATTATAATCATGATTGTTTTCATCTGTGTGGTGGTAATCATCTGATTGTCATCTTGCAATTTAAGATATTTGGATGAGACAAAAAAGACTTGTGACAATCACATTTCACTTTGATATTTATAATGAACTTGTTGATCTGGCTATTTTGTGACAATTGAAATGAAAGTTCAGGGATAAGATTCATTACATGAGCAAATTATTTCTTATTTGAGAATTTTATTTCCTGTAAAACTTATACTCAATTGGTTGAGAGTTGATTCTTGATTGTGTATCAAGAGCATCATTTAATATCATTTGTAACAAGATAATGGTAGAGCCATCTTTAGACTATTTGATTGATTATTGCCAATTCAGAGTCTTGAAGTAAAATATTTTCACAATTAATGTTAACATGATTTATTGAATCAGCATATTGAGTTCATTTAGAAACCTCTAATTAATTTGACTTGTGCTTGATTACAATTAAGTGGAGTACATTGACTTTAATTTTGTTTCTTTAATAATGATTAGAAATATTTTAAGGTGAGACTTTTGTCAACATTCAATTGAAGATGATCATTAAAGGGTTCAATTTAAAAGGTAAAGTAACTTTAAATCAATTGCTTTTAAGGCTTTTTTGAGGCCCAATCTTTAGTTTCATTAAAATCAATGCAATCATTGACTGTCATTCATTGTATAATCATTGTTGAAGTTATTAAATTCATTTCTGCATTTGCAAGTAATTTTATGTGCAAATGCAAGGAATGAATGAAGATGAAGATTATCATGCATTTCATGAATGTATGATTGAATTAACTGGAAATTTATCGCTAATTTTGATTCGCTTTCTCAAGATGTAACAATCAAGTTTAAGTAAATTAACACATCGTTATTAGATCAATTATGTTTACCACAAAAGGGAAGGTGGCGAAGAAGGTGAAGATTAAAATAAAAATGCTGATGAAAAGGTGGAAAGCAAATTATATGTATGAAGAGCAAGAAGGAGGACAATTTATAACGATGAAGATGAATCTGGGTTTTGCTTTGAAAAATAACAATGTTATTATCATCATTTTTCACCCCAAAAAATAATATCAAATACTGTAAGTCAAATAAAACTAGTAAATAACAGAGGCTTGATAAGTAGCAACGAAGTTGATGATTGAGTAAAGAGAGAGAGAGAGAAGAGAAAGAAAGAGAAGAAGCGGGAGAAGAAGAAGAAGAAGAAGATGATGATGATGATAATGTTGATGAATAAAAAGAAACATTAAGATGATGATAATGATGATGATGAGAGGCACTATTATTACAAAGAGAGGAGTTTATTTTCTCAGATCGTTTGCAAAAAAAGGGATTGGCTATTGGAATATTTCAAGTTACCTTTCTTTTTTACTTAATCATCATCATCTTAATCATTATCATCATAATCATCTTGATATTTTAACGGTGTTTTATTTGAGCATTTGAAGAGAGTCCATGTAAAGTTGATATGTGATGTTAACAGGGAAAAGATGATTGTAATGAAATTAATTAGAAACTAGTCAAAATTAACAGAGAAGATGATGAAGATAGTAATGATAATGATGGGGCTGATGAAGAAGACGATAGAGAGGACGATGCTGATGATGATGAAGAAGAAGAAGAAAGATGAGAAATATCGGTCAACATTATATATCGATAGGTGTTCACAAAGGCGTTACAAATCACGATCCAATATGAAATGAAATGAAAAGAGTCACAAAGAGATGGTTATCAGTTAAGAAATGATGAGGTTGAGCTTTAAATTGAACAGGAGAGACCCCATAGTGGGCAGCTTCGGAAGCTTCTTACCTGGTCAACAGTTTCACTAAAAAAGACTTGTGAAAATATGTTGAAGAGCCAATCAAAAAATGGGCCACTTTTTTCATTATCAAAGTAAAGCCACTCTACCTTTATTTATCATCTCTTTCTTTTCTTTCTTTCTTCTTCTTACTTTTCTTCATCTTTCTTCTTCTTCTTTCTTTTCCTTCTTCTTCCCTTTTATTTTCTCTTTACTTCTGCATCATCTCACATCATCTTCATTATCATCATTATCATCATCATTTTCATTTATATTTTCATCTTTTCGCCGTTTCAAACAAAAAATAGTTGCAATCAATTGGTATTTTAATTTGGGTTCAACAGTTATCAGTAGAGTGTCAAAAGCAATGTATGATTATAATAAGATGATTGTATTAATACATTAGAATTGAATGTTTTTCTTAAGCAAATTTCATTTCTTTTCATTTCACCTTTAACTTTGTATAATAAGTTTACTTTTTACTCTTGAGTGGCATGTTTATACATCATCTTCATTCTCATCATTTTCATCATTCTCGCCATTCTCATCATCATCTTCATCTTGCAACTCCTATTAGCTTAAAAAAACAAGACAATCAACAAGAAAAAAAGGAATCATTTCCTTCAATTGAATGTCAAACTTGATGAGTTTAATATTTATCAATAAATAAAGGTAAAAGTTGATTTTTGTTTTTTTGTTTCTAATTTACTTTTACCTCCTTCGGTTGTTCAATATTAATATTTGTTCATTTATTTGTATATCTGTGTGTGTGGTTAATCATTTTGTATGCAAAACTCATGCAGCTTTTACATAAATTCATAACAAGTGTTGAAAAGGTTAAAATAATTACTTGAACAAATTTACCTTTTATTTTTTGTTCAAAAAAATTATGAAACAAAATATCAATTTCAATGGCGAACTGAACATCAAATTGAACAATATTTTTAGTCAAAAAAGATGAATATAATTTTATGAATGAAAACGATTATCTACCTTAAAGGTGGTCCAATCACTTTTTGTGAGTCCAAAGGGAGGAGTTTAATGGCGCATCAATAATTTAGTTTCATTCATCTCAATCAACTCAATTACTACAATCATTTCAATCACTTTTGTTGATCACTTAAACTGCTTAAACTTTGAAACAAATAAATGTAGCAATTTATTTTAAATGTCATTTAAATACGAATAAATGCAATATTTTCAGACAAGTTTCGTTCAGTTGTCAATCATCAGCTTCGACTGATTTCATTGTGATGTCAAAGGTGTGTCAACAAGTTTCAAATGATACAGGAAAGTTCATTGAATAATGCTCGAACATTTTGCTAAAGAATTTCGATGCTTAATTGTTGCATTGATTGTCATCAATCTCATGATGATTAGCATCTTTGCTAATGATTTTGGTTTCACTTAATTTTGGTTGATAACAATGTAATTTAGCAATTAATCAATAATTTAATTTTAATTGAAAATGATTAGACAAATTTCATGGGAATCAAGTATTTGAAGAGCATCATTAAGAAAAATATGATTAAATCAATGAATCAAATTAAAGTTGAGGTTAAGGTTGGTTAAACACCTTAAATAATAAATTAATGAAAAAAATGATTCAAGTGAAAATTCAATATAGAATCAAGATAAATTGAATTAAAGTAAATAACAGACAAAATTAATTTGATTGTGATGAAGATACGAAAAGGAAAAATTATAATTACCTTTTATAATAATCATAATGAATTAATTGTAACGCATGGTTAATTGTGACCTTTAATCCTTTGCTTTTTAAACTTTCACTTTAACTTTGATAAATTCAATGTAAAAATGTTTCGATGCATACATTGGATGGCAAATGATTGTTTAGGGCCGATCCGATGAACTAAAATGTTTGTCAAAATGTTTGTTTATTGGCAATGTTTGTTAAAATTAATCAATTTTGATTAATGTCATTTTAAATCTTAATTAGAAAGCGCCATCTTTTGTTTTTTAATGATTTTAAAAGATAACTAAAAATAATTTATAATCAAAAAGATAAGAAATGCAATCTGAAAAAATGTAAAGGCGCATGAATAAAATGATTGTTAATTTTTTGATCGGACAGTGTTAATGTTGATGACGTAACAAAATCAAACAAACATTGCCTACTAACAAAGATTTAAACAACATTTTAAACATTTTTTGGTTCATCGGATCGGCCCTTAGTTGATGAGAAAAGTTTATTTTTGTTTTCATTGATCAATGTATCATATTGAATGTAAACAAGTAAAGCAAGTTTCATTCAAGTAACACTCAGCAATTCAGATTGATATTGATTAAACTCTCCATGTAACCAGTCTTTTCACTTATCCTTTAACTAACCTTTAACTTTAACTCTTTCTTTCAACTAAAGGTAACCTTCATTGAGAGCTTTAAAAATGACAAATAAACAAGACTTTTATTTTATCATTTACCTGGAAACAAACAGTTAAACATTTAATGGAATCCAGTTTCATCTTCATTTTCATCTTCTCCTCATTTTCATCCTGTAACACAATTTATATTAATTAATGTTGATCAAGAAAAGGTAAAGAGGATGTTGTCAACATTCTTAACAACATTCCAAACCCTCTTTATCATCATCTTCATCTTCATCATCGACTTCATCATCAGCTTCATCAACTTGATCCTCATCATTACTCACTTTCATCTTTCCTTTTTTACTTGCCTAACTTCATTCATTCATCTTCATCTTTATCATCTTAATCATCGTTCTGCAAATTAAATGATTGAGGTGAAAATGTTTTCCTTAAAGTTAACATTAAATGTACTAACATTTGAATGTTGACACAATTACGTTGAAATGTATTTTGGTGAACTTCAAGTGAAAGTGCAACAAAATAAAAGACAATTTTTTCGTTATCAGCATTTTGCAAGAATCCAAATGAATTGTAATATTTTATTTGAATGGAAATGATTATCATTATGTTTCCAAAGACTGAAAGGTTATTGATAATTACGTTGAATTTACCGGATTAACTAGTTGCTGACTCGGTGCGATAAGATTTTTTAATTGCTACAATTTAACTATAAATTAAATACTTAAAGACAGGTCAAATAAGAGAAATGGTTAAATGATAATGAGAATGATAATCATCATCCTGATCATCCTCATCACCTTCGTGTACATCTCAAGGTTATCATTATAAAGTTAAGTGTAAAAGAAAAGAAAAAAAAGAGAAAAAAAGAAAATGAAGAAACTGAAGAAATTCATTGAGTTAACAAGAATATCGAATGTAAATGTTAAAAGAAGAGACACAAAAATTGAGCAAGAATCTGATTGATCATGATTAAGATGAAACTGGCGATGATTTTGGTGATTGCTTCTGACTGTGAAAATAGGTGATAAAAGATGAAATGAGATGAAATGGATTAAGGTTAATCTGAATAGCAACCATTAGGTTGAGTTGCCTGAGCAAAGCAAGAAAAAAGTAAACTTTTATTGTTGCCAAAATGAACATTGGTTAACATGTTTAAACATCTCATAGGGTTAAATAGCAACACAATATGAGAAACAAATGATCCATTGAAAGAAGTTGCAAGTTTCATCTTTCAAAGGAAAAAAAGCAGCAAAAAAAAACAAAATCCCGAAGCCACTTCAGAGTTTCTTTGCCTTGTTTCATGCTGCTTCGGCCGTCGCCCGTTTATTATACCTTCAAAATTCACTTTTGCTCTGAAAATTCACACCAAACATTTTTCTCGTTTTTTAAGCCCAAAAAAAAGCAAAGTGATTAAAAGGCAACATCATCAACATACACAAAACAGTAAAGCCTTAACATTGAAAAAACCTAGAAATAAGTAAACTTTGATTTTTTTCAAGATAATTTCACTAGAAGGATGAACAGTATAATAGATGATGATGATGATTATGATGATGATGAGGGAGAAGAAGAAGATAAAAAGAAAGAGTAAAGAAAGCAAAAAAGCCCTTTGACCTTATGGGAATGAATTAGTTGGTTTAACAAGGAATTCACTCTCTTCTCTCTGTCTAACTTTTCTTGTGTGTTACTCTTTCGACTTGTTTTTTGACCAACACACATATAAATAAGGAACCAAAATTGGAGGCAATAATAACACATAAAGAGCCCAAAAATGGAGCCAAAAAATGGTTCCTATGTAGACAGACGAATCGGCCGAATGTAGTTTACCCGTGGCGACAATGTTATTCCTCCCTTTAAAACTATCGCTTCTTTCAACTTCATCATGTCAATAATTATAATAATGATGATAATATTTCTTGTGAAAAACTAAAAGATTGGATTCTTTTTACCAAATTTTGTTCTTTACTTTGTAATCATTGACATTTTTTGTAACAACACTCATTGTTGCCTGTTTTGCGTTACTTTAGCTGTTGTTGGTGTCGTTGATGGTGACAATGGTGATGATAATGTGGAGGAGGATGAGAGACAAGGAATCACTATTTTGTTGCTTTTTACCCTTGTTGACATCTCAACCACCTTCACAATCAACATACTAATTAAGCATTTTCAAAGTGAAAACGATCATAATGATGAGTTAAATTGTAGACCACCATAATTGCTCATAATTAACTTGCCCATTTCCTTATTATCAGCAATATTTGATTCTTGACTTTTCAACATTTTACTACAAAATCAAACTAATTATCATCATGAATGACTTCCATTGTCATCTTTATTTACAATTTTATGATAATTTTATTTGTTTTATCAAGCATTTCTGTCTAAATATCATGAATCAATACAGTGTACCAAATTGAGTTTCAATATCTTTTGCTCATATTCATTTTAATCAATTTAAATTTGATAAAATTAACACTTGCCTGCGCAAAAGATATAAAGTTGGTGCAAAACTCAATTTGAGTGACTGTAATTCAGTTAAAATGAAACATTATCACTTCAGGGGCAATCCGATCAAAACAATTAATGAAATAAAAATTTCAATTAGATTAAAAACTGATAAGAAGTTAATCTAATTTTCACAAAAATTTAATCTCAATAATGTCCATAGGGAAAAAATTTTTAATTGACGACAGGCGCATGACCTAAATGTTGTTAAATTGGTTGATCGGATCTTTGTAAATTAGTGACGTCACAAATTATTGAAATTTTATCTAATCTTATCTTTACAAACATTTTTAGTCTAATTTTTAACTACATTTCTTGTTGATCGGATTGCCCCTCAATTGAAGACATTTACATTGATTATACAATGATTGTATTGATTTTAATGAAACTAAATAAAAAGATTGGGCCTCAAAAAAGCCTTAAAAGCAATTGATTTAAAGTTACTTTACCTTTTAAAGTGAACCCTTTAATGATCATCTTCAATTGAATGTTGACAAAGTCTCACCTTAAAATATTTCTAATCATTATTAAAGAAACTAAAATTAAAGTCAATACTTTGATTGTTAATTGTGATCAAGACACAAGTTAAAATCTTATTAATCTGCTGATGATTGAAAATAAGCCAGTTTAAACATATACATAATGTATTTAACTAACAGTTGACAGTTTTCACCTTTATCATTTCAGATGGATTCATTGATTTTACCGCAAACTGGATGGTTCAAAGCAGCGAGTTGCACTTGGTATTAACATGGATATTACCTGATAATTTTAGCTATTAATCATTTATGTCAATTGATTTCGGAGCTTTTCTTCATCAATTAATTAGATCAACTCATGCAATGTTTATTGATTTCAAGCTAAATTGCAAATTGGCCATGTGCACCTAAAAAGGCTCAAAGTGATTAAGAAGATGAAAGTTGAAATTAAATCACACTCTAACATGAACCACACTCATATCATAATGTTTACCGAATTGTACAATAAGTCAAATGTTGATCCCGATATACAAGATGTAACATCAAAGCAAACATTCAAGTTAAAAATGATTCGAGTTTACAATTATTTACTTTCAACTGTGAAAAGCAAAAAAAGACAACCAAAGGATCATTTTTACGGAGTAAAATATGTTAGTTATCTCGATAAAATGATTGTTAAATGTCACTTTCTTAACCAAGGTTTAACCACGGAGAGACGACCGATGAAACAAATGATTCTCTATGAAATCAGTCTGTTTATAATCAATTTATTTACAGTCGTCCGATTGTTGCTGGTACTTTTTTGGGACGAAAAATCGCCTGTTTACAGTCAACTGGTGCTTTACCTAGGCGAGGGATACATTGGACTACCTAATCGCAAACTAGTGTTGACCCTGTTTTTACTCGCTCAAAGCTGCTTTTGGCTCATCAAATTAACATCCCTTTGGTGTGAGTTGACCAACAACATGAAGATTCTCGATGAATTAGCAGTCGTCAGAAAATCTGGTTTTGATTCTGATGCACTTAAATTAAGAAATGAAGATTGTAAAAGATTCCAGAAAATCTCAATCGTCATTCTTGGCAACATAAAGGCTATCATCATTATATTATGTTTTTCCGTCTCAAGTATTCATATTTTTTTTCAACAATCTTGCTGGCATTTCTTGAACGGACTCACAGCCAAAACGTTAACCTTTATTTGGTCCATTTTCATCGTAACCATGATTTGTATGCACACTACAGTCGCATTGATTGGCACTGCTTTACTTTTATTTGGATTTAGTTATGTTAAATTTCGCCATGACTCGATCACCTCTAACTTGAAGCTGTTGAGCAAATTGTCAGCTTGTCCAGTGGCCATTTTACAACGAACCATTTATGATCACATCGATATTTATAACCTTTTTGACCTTTGCAATGTATTTTCACGTCCAATTTTGTTTGTAATGTACGTTCCGTTTACCTTATTTGCTGATTTGACCTTCTTCTTTGTGACAGTTCACGGAGTCGATAGTAAATTTGTTTCCTATGTAGCAACAGTAATTATCAGTATAGCTGTTGCTGGGTTTGCTTTATCCACTTATTTAATTGGTAACATTCATTCAAAGGTAAATTCAGCTAGACGATTGTTCGTGATACTAATTAAGCTTTCTCGTTTCAGTCTTCAATGGCCAGTAAACAATTGCATAAGCTAATCCTTCATGCTCCATTCAATGTGCGAGTTAACCTTAAGGTAAGTTGAAAAAGCATTTGTATTTTTGTTGTTTACCAATGGATTGTTCAGCATGAGCTTGTTTAGTTATTAATCATTATTGATGAGTGAATTAATAATTTGATACTCAACTTACCTTATATTTAACTTTTACTTATCATTTATCAAGGCTTTATTTTTATTGGAAAGAATCTTGGAAACTCCGGTTGGAATAAGTAGTTACAATTCAGTGGTTACAAAAGAGCATGTTGTTACTGTATGTATTGAAATTAACTAACATGTAAGATTAATTAATACATTTTTGGATTTTTCTTCTTCTTCTTCTGCCTTTTTTAACAGTATTTATTGGAGAATGCATCAAATCTTATGCTGTTCACTTGTAATTTCCGCAGGGTTTAATTGATTCAATGATAAAACTTGATCAATGAAATTTAAAGTCACCAGATTAAGTTGACTTTAGCTTTGTAAGTTACAAGTTTGCTTCATTTGTCAATAGAAAAGCTATTTCCAATAAATAATATTTAATGCTTAAAACGACCTCATTTCTGACAAATCTTACAATCTTTCTTTAAACCAGTATTTTCTTTATTTGCAAAGGTATTGCAATTAAAACTGCAAATCTTTTGTCTGAAAAATACCCGGGAAGGTAACCTGTGGGTTGGTATGGCGTTATTAGAGACACCTCTTCCTAAAAATTGGCACCACGATTACCACCAATTACTACTCTTCCTCCTGGAGGATTCCAAGAACCGATCTTGGTTTTGGTTCTATAATAAAAAAATAAAAACAGACAATACTGAGAATAGCAAAAAGGATTTCTAAATATCTCCGCACACTTACGTGGAGTAAGGAGTGTAAGCCTGGTCTGAACCAGTCAAATTCTGTTTATGATCTTGTAGCCATTTGTATTCAACTCTAGGTTCTTCTATCGGTGTTTTATCAGTATTATGGACCATCCAGTTATGCCATTCAGGAGGAATCATTGATGCATCGTAATCAAGATTACATTTTTCATTGTATATAACCCATCGATCAGCTTGAAGGGTAGAGTTACCCAAGATAAATTTAATTTCATTTTGCTTTGGATCAAGATAAAGTATTCAAATACTTAAAGATCCTTACTTTTCATTTTGTAATTTTTCATAAATCCCTTTCTCTTTTTGTTTGTAAAATTGTCAATGGAGACACAGTTTCCTTTCTTTCCTTTCTTCATTTGTCTTCCTTTTTTCTTTAGGTTTCAAAACCTTTCATTTCCTTCCGTTAACAGTAGTATATATTGAGACAATTTTGCCCTTTTGATTTATGTTCATTTTACTGTTTAATCTATGATTTCATTACTGTTTAAATTACTTATTAATCAAGTTCTGATTACTCCTGGTATTGGAATACCAAATTGGTTTAATCCTGTCCTGCTCTTGAATTAATAAAGTTTCCTAAATTTCTAGTTTGTAAGTGAAAGTATTCAAATACTTATTACTCAATGTGTTTCAACTATTAGTTTGCTATAAACCGCGATAGTTCATTGTTTGTACCAGTCTTTGGTTTGACCTTAATTAGCTATTTCTAGCTGTGTGGTAAAAGTATTCAAATACTTGTGTTTGGACTTGTTGGTCAGCTTAAATAAGCTAAGCTCTCGTGCTGTTAATCTTGTGCAACAAAAATACAAAAAACTCGAGGGAAAAGTGTACATGAATTCATTACATCGGTAATTTCATAATTTATTAATGTAATAATACAAAATTTGATGGGTGAAAGTATGCATAAATCGGGGTCACTCTGAGAAACCCCATGCGCCCCCGGTTTTAACCGAAGGGAAATCACCCCACAAATCCTTCAAGGTGTACCGCTCTAAGCTGCTGAGAAGGATGAGGTTGATTTCTTTTTTAAAAAAAGTCAATTCTTGGGGCCATTTCTTCCAATTCTACCTTCGAATATTTTGTTCCTGTTGGTGAAAGACGAACTTTGTAACATCTGAAAAGAATTTTGCTTTCATGTGCCACCACTTGAATAACATGCTCAACTCCCGATAACTTTAAGCCTTCTAATTTACAGCCGACGAAAAAATCGATTAAAAAATTTCGAATTTTGAATTCAGCCATTGGTTTATAGTTCTCAATACCAAGCTCAAACATGTCCAATACTTGGTTATCAAATGTTCTGCCCATTACAATGTTATTAGCTCGTTTCTTTGAATGTGATCCAACAACAAAAAGTGGACACTCATATTTTTTACACAAGAATTCCACTGGAGAGACATCTTCAAAGGGGAGAATGAATTTATTTCTACAATAAAGAAGTCAATTAGTAAGCTGAAATCTCAGGTATACTTTATTACTTACCCATGTTTATTGCGGAAAACAGTGAAAGGTTTTTTAAGCGTACACTAAGAATAAAATGAAAGATTAGACCATGGAAAAGCTAATGATTGTTAAAAATACTTACAATGTCTTTCATAACATCAGTGGTGAACTGGTTAATTGTGGATGATCTTAGAAACACACAATTCTTTGGACCTTCAATAACTTTGGGTTCTTTTTGGAGTAATTTCCTTTTACCCCGAGCAGTTTTAGTTTTACTACAGAGAAAAGAAAACCAATAATTAAACATACAGTCACCTTTAATAAATCATGAGATGAAATATAAATCCATACTTACATTACTTTATCCATATTTAATTTGATTCAACTGCAATTAATAAGTTAAAATACAACAATCAAACAATTAAAACCGAAGATGTTGATGTTTACACTAAGCACTCAATAAACAAACGTGGTTATGGGGGGTAAGCCCTATAACCACGTTTGGTATAAATGGTAAGCCCTATAACCGCCCTATAGCCCTATGATAAGATTCTAATCCTTGGATATGTACAGGGTGTAAAGAAAGTTTTGGCAAGTAAGCTCAGCCCACTTCATTGCGCAGAGATCCTTTTTGGTTTCTCTATGTGAGTCAAACCATTATTTTTAAAAAAACCGCTCTCTCATACGCAAACTTTTGAGTCCCGCCTTACCAAAACTTTCTTTACACCCTGTAGTAGACTTTTATTTGGCTTAAGAGTACGGCGCGTCTGTTTAAACTCTATGGAATAGTGTCAAAAACTTGATTATTTAGGTCAAGATTTGAGACTTTGTGGATTTGTAGGTTAACTTAACCTCTATCCACTGGACTATCCTAAACTATTTTAAATAGATGTTTAGCTCATCGTTATTCTTGTTAAGCTTTTTCAAGCAAGCTTAGTGTTTGAATTACACAAGAGATGGCGTTGAAATTCGCATTTGTACAAATAGTCAAAAAGCCTATTCGTACAAAAAACTTGTACGAATAGGCCTTTCCGTTATGGGGAACAAGCTTTACAGGGTGTAACTAAAGTTCGTGTAGGAGGCAAAAAAATATTCCCCCCTGCGTAGAAACCAATTTTAATTTGCTTTAATTTCTCGATTGAGAAACTGATTCCCTCTCTTAAGCCCTCCTACCTACACGAACTTTAGTTACACCCTGTAAACCATGTGAATGGTTATCGATATATCGATATGAGTTTTTTCAATGAATTGACATTTCATTCAAGTTTGAATTTTATAAAAAATTTAATTAAAAGCTTTTTTAATTATCTTGAAACAGTAATTAGACCATTTTAAAGTATTTCTAGATAAAATCCATCAAAGGTTCGAAATACAAAAAGTGAACAATGCATCTATTGATGAATACAGATTTTAATCAATATAATCAATTGTCATCAATCTCATGATGATTAGCATCTTTGCTAATGATTTTGGTTTAACTTAATTTTGGTTGATAACAATGTAATTTAGCAATTAATCAATAATTTAATTTTAATTGAAAATGATTAGACAAATTTCATGGGAATCAAGTATTTGAAGAGCATCATTAAGAAAAATATGACTAAATCAATGAATCAAATTAAAGTTGAGGTTAAGGTTGGTTAAACACCTTAAATAATAAATTAATGAAAAAAATGATTCAAGTGAAAATTCAATATAGAATCAAGATAAATTGAATTAAAGTAAATAACAGACAAAATTAATTTGATTGTGATGAAGATACGAAAAGGAAAAATTATAATTACCTTTTATAATAATCATAATGAATTAATTGTAACGCATGGTTAATTGTGACCTTTAATCCTTTGCTTTTTAAACTTTCACTTTAACTTTGATAAATTCAATGTAAAAATGTTTCGATGCATACATTGGATGGCAAATGATTGTTAGTTGATGAGAAAAGTTTATTTTTGTTTTCATTGATCAATGTATCATATTGAATGTAAACAAGTAAAGCAAGTTTCATTCAAGTAACACTCAGTAATTCAGATTCTTATTGATTAAACTCTCCATGTAACCAGTCTTTTCACTTATCCTTTAACTAACCTTTAACTTTAACTCTTTCTTTCAACTAAAGGTAACCTTCATTGAGAGCTTTAAAAATGACAAATAAACAAGACTTTTATTTTATCATTTACCTGGAAACAAACAGTTAAACATTTAATGGAATCCAGTTTCATCTTCATTTTCATCCTCATTTTCATCCTCTAACACAATTTATATTAATTAATGTTGATCAAGAAAAGGTGCAGAGGATGTTGTCAACATTCTTAACAACATTCCAAACCCTCTTTATCATCATCTTCATCTTCATCATTGACTTCATAATCAGCTTCATCAACTTGATCCTCATCATTACTCACTTTCATCTTTCCTTTTTTACTTGCCTAACTTCATTCATTCATCTTCATCTTTATCATCTTAATCATCGTTCTGCAAATTAAATGATTGAGGTGAAAATGTTTTCCTTGAAATTAACATTAAATGTACTAACATTTGAATGTTGACACAATTACGTTGAAATGTATTTTGGTGAACTTCAAGTGAAAGTGCAACAAAATAAAAGACAATTTTTTCGTTATCAGCATTTTGCAAGAATCCAAATGAATTGTAATATTTTATTTGAATAGAAATGATTATCATTATGTTTCCAAAGACTGAAAGGTTATTGATAATTACGTTGAATTTACCGGATTAACTAGTTGCTGACTCGGTGCGATAAGATTTTTTAATTGCTACAATTTAACTATAAATTAAATACTTAAAGACAGGTCAAATAAGAGAAATGGTTAAATGATAATGAGAATGATAATCATCCTGATCATCCTCATCAACTTTGATTTTTTTTCAAGATAATTTCACTAGAAGGATGAACAGTATAATAGATGATGATGATGATTATGATGATGATGATGATGAGGGAGAAGAAGAAGATAAAAAGAAAGAGTAAAGAAAGCAAAAAAGCCCTTCGACCTTATGGGAATGAATTAGTTGGTTTAACAAGGAATTCACTCTCTTCTCTCTGTCTAACTTTTCTTGTGTGTTACTCTTTCGACTTGTTTTTTTGACCCAACACACATATAAATAAGGAACCAAAATTGGAGGCAATAATAACACATAAAGAGCCCAAAAATGGAGCCAAAAAAAATGGTTCCTATGTAGACAGACGAATCGGCCGAATGTAGTTTACCCGTGGCGACAATGTTATTCCTCATCGTGTCAATAATTATAATAATGATGATAATATTTCTTGTGAAAGCTAAAAGATTGGATTCTTTTACTAAATTTTGTTCTTTACTTTGTAATCATTGACATTTTTGTAACAACACTCATTGTTGCCTGTTTTGCGTTACTTTAGCTGTTGTTGGTGTCGTTGATGGTGACAATGGTGATGATAATGTGGAGGAGGATGAGAGACAAGGAATCACTATTTTGTTCCTTTTTACCCTTGTTGACATCTCAACCACCTTCACAATCAACATAATGGGCTTCATTTGTTTGGACCAATTACTACTCTTCCTCCTGGAGGATTCCAAGAACCGATCTTGGTTTTGGTTCTATAATAAAAAAATAAAAACAGACAATACTGAGAATAGCAAAAAGGATTTCTAAATATCTCCGCACACTTACGTGGAGTAAGGAGTGTAAGCCTGGTCTGAACCAGTCAAATTCTGTTTATGATCTTGTAGCCATTTGTATTCAACTCTAGGTTCTTCTATCGGTGTTTTATCAGTATTATGGACCATCCAGTTATGCCATTCAGGAGGAATCATTGATGCATCGTAATCAAGATTACATTTTTCATTGTATATAACCCATCGATCAGCTAAATAAAAATAATATCTGTTTTCATAATATTTGTTTCCATATTTATCCGTTCCAACACATTTACCCCATTTAACTGTTGCATGTCTGAAATAGAATTGAAAAATTTTCGCAATCATTGTTGATAAGTCATAATGAAAGTAATAACTCAGACTCAATTTATCGTTTTACTTACCTATGCCAATTCCATAGCGTACCAAAAAGTCCATTTGTTTTAATGAGTTCTCGAGCACTGATCATCTTATCAACACCAAACCATTTAGCAAGCCTACTTGTCTGCATTTTGAGGCAAAAAATTGAATGAAAACAGCCGACTAGTAATTACAATAAAATAATTGATCAATTAACCTCAACCAGTAAAGCTATATTGACAATGTCATCAACAAAAAACCTTAAGTTAATATTTCTCCGTGAGATGACGCTGTCTAAATAGAGAAAAAAATCACGTTTCAATTGTAAAATTCGTAATTTCCCCTTCTAGTTACTCTAGATGGCAGCATAACAAAAATACAAAAAACTCGAGGGAAAAGTGTACATGAATTCATTACATCGGTAATTTATTAATGTAATAATACAAAATTTTGTCTCTCTATCAAAATGACAGGAGATGGATGAAAGTATTTAGTGATAAACATTATTTTGCTTAACGCATTGGAGGTCTCAATGTTGGTGGTAGCATAGGAGGAGGAATGCCCATTGGTGGAGGAACCATCAATGATGGCGGTGGAACCAGAGGATTGAATGCGGCCGCAGCATTTGGAGTAACTGTCGATGTTGGAGTAGTAGGTATTACTGGAGCCGATGGCTTGGTAGCAATCTTTTGGGCCGTAAACGCAGCCGCTGGAAATTAAAAGAAAAGATAAGATAAGATTAGGATTCTTTTTCGATAAAAGATCGATTCAATAAAGTTTAAGCGATCAATGCTTGATTCGCAGCATCCAAATCTATATGCAGCTATTGGTAATCTAATTGAGAGAACAAAAAATCAAGAACAGGAACAAGAACAAGAATAGACTTACTTGTAGCATCAATTAAACTTTGGGCTCGTTCTTCCATCCATTTTTGATAATAAAATTTAACATTCTCTTTGTGCTTACGACCACTACAATGAGTTTTGCGAACCGAAGGAGAATCGTGAGTTAGATAGGTGTCACAATAATCACAATAATATTTAGGCATGATGTAGACAATCTGAAGTAAAATTTGTGAAGTATATGACAATTCACACGTCCGGCAACTGAATCAAAACAAACCTGCATATGATCCAGAAGCATTATTTATACGCCATCTAGCGGTGACGAGGCCTCTATATTTTGATTATGAATCGAATGGTTTAGACCATTAAAATAAAACATTGGCCATTACAATAAGAAATACATGTAATAAGATTAACACTTAATGTAATAATATTCAGCTTAGATAGAAACCTCGAGTTTAATTCGCATAACTGCTCATGACAGTGGTTTAATAATACCCATTCCATAAGTTTTACTTCAGCTTAGAAGATTAATTTTATTTTAAACAAAATAACTTAAAGGGTGTTCAATGTAATTACTTCATGCAAGAAAGATAAATAGAGTAACATTTTACCTTTCATCCTTTACCTTTGTTATTTTGATCGGACTTATCATGTTTTTGATTGTGATTATCAAAATTTAAGCTCCGCCAGTTTGGAAGTAATTACATTGAACACCCTTTACAATACAAGCGGGTTCAAAAACCCGAAATCGAACATGGGAAGTCATATTAAGCAATTTTATATCACTTAAGAGGTTGCAGCTGTCTTTTTTAAACCCTTCATCTTTCTAGTTTGTAATCCTGAGTAATCTTGTCGAGTCATATGGATTCTTCCAAATGTTGTTCCAAGTTTAGATTTCTTGATGTTTTTGACCTTCTTGATTCTGACCTCTGCAGGTTTTTTGAGAGATTTTTTCAATAAATCATCTGAAGCCAGTTTAGATCGCCGTAAACTAAAGTCAATTCTTGGTCCCATTTCTTCCAATTCTAACTTTGAATATTTTGTTCCTGTTGGTGAAAGACGAACTTTGTAACATCTGAAAAGAATTTTGCTTTCATGTGCCACCACTTGAATAACATGCTCAACTCCCGATAACCTTAACCCGTCTAATTTACAGCCGACGAAAAAATCGATTAAAAAATTTCGGAATCTTTTAAATTCTTCTTGCTCATCAAACTGTTCTCCTCCAAAAATAAGTAGAGGTTTGCTACCAATAGCAATTTTTGGAATTTTGAACTCAGCCATTGGTTTATAGTTTTCAATACCAAGCTCAAACATGTCCAATACTTGGTTATCAAATGTTCTGCCCATTACAATGTTATTAGCTCGTTTCTTTGAATGTGATCCAACAACAAAAAGTGGACACTCATATTTTTTACACAAGAATTCCACTGGAGAGACATCTTCAAAGGGGAGAATCAATTTATTTCTACAATAAAGAAGTCAATTAGTAAGCTGAAATCTCAGGTATACTTGGTTACTTACCCATGTTTATTGCGGAAAACAGTGAAAGGTTTTTTAAGCGTACACTAAAAAGAAAATGAAAAATTAGACCATGGAAAAGCTGATGATTGTTAAAAATACTTACAATGTCTTTCATAACATCAGTGGTGAACTGGTTAATTGTGGATGATCTTAGAAACACACAATTCTTTGGACCTTCAATAACTTTGGGTTCCCTTTGGAGTAACTTCCTTTTACCCCGAGCAGTTTTGGGTTTACTACAGAAAAAAGGAATACCAATAATTAAACATAGAGTCACCTGAAATGAAATATAAATCACTACTTACATTACTTTATCCATATTTAGTTTGATTCAACTATAATTAATAAGTTAAAATAAAACAATCAAACAATTAAAACAGAAGATCTGAATGTTTACAATAAGCATTCAATAAACAAACGTGGTTATGGGGAACAAGCTTTAAACCATGTGACTAGTTATCGATATATCGATATGAGTTTTTTCAATGAATTGACATTTCATTCAAGTTTGAATTTTATAAAAAATTTAATTAAAAGCTTTTTTAATTATCTTAAAACTATAATTACACCATTTTAAAGTATTTCTAGATAAAATCCATCAAAGGTTCGAAATACAAAAAGTGAACAATGCATCTATTGATGAATACAGATTTTAATCAATTTATTAATTTAAGCTGCCGATGAGTGATTGAAAAATATCAATTAAAACCAACAGCTGCTGCAACTTAATTGGTGTCAAGTTATAATAGAGCAAGGTTGTAATTTCCTTTGAAAGAAAATAATTGACAATTGTTGAAAGGTGTAAACAAGTAGAGGTGATAGCTCAAAGGTGGGTCAATGTTTAAACTTTTCAGCCAAAAAAAACGAGTGAAAGAAAAGTCCAAATGAATGTGTAACCGGTAAAAAGGTGAGTTTCTAAAGTCGGAGACAGCAGGAGAAAAGGTTAAAGACAGAGAGAGAAAAAATTTGTTGAAAAGATGAGGAAGAGAAACAACGAGTATAGCCTCAAGATATGCACCTGTGTAAGGCGATTGATTGAACAGCAACGACAAAGGTAACAGGTAACCAGTTGTACTTCATCATTAGACCATAAGACACAATTTTCAACTGGATAATCACTTTTAATCAACATCACACACAAAGTGAACAACTGTGAACATCATCGCTAGATAGAACGTAATTTTCTCTATCTTGGACTGCTGTTCAATTTTTCCATATTTTTATTTTCCATCATTTTCGTTCGATGTGGAATGGTGTAGATTAAATTAGGAGCCAAAGAGTAAAGTAAAAATTCACTTTCTAATATCCAAAAGAAGCAGAAACAAATGGATTAACCAACGAATGAAAATCAAAAGAGATAAAATTAAAGGATAAATAAAGCAAAGTAACTTATCCTACTCTTTGTAAAGTAGACAAAGGTTCATTTTATTCACCAATCAGTGACTTTGAAAACAAAAGACAAAAAGATGGCCACATTGATAATCAGATAAGAAGAAAACTGAGACTGACAGTTATTCAAGCTTGATGATAAAAATGTGAAAAATAGCCGTTGATATAAAATTGATCGTTGTTCCATTCATTTAACACTATTAGTAACGTTTTAACCAAACAACTAATTACCTTATCCTTAAACCCTTTTAGGTTATACTTTTAACAGACTATCAAAGATATCAAATATTTTGTCTCAAAAACTTTCTCACGCATTTTTATCAATTATTTAAGTATTTCTTTCAACTCATTTCTGCTGTTTTGTTATCCAACTTTTTTGTCTCTACTTTTTGTCTCAACAAAAATCACTATTTCAGTAAGCACTAGAAAAGTCTTATTTTTACTGTCTTCTTTTTTTCCTCTGTCTGTTGTAAGCGCCAAAAAACGACTTCGATCTTTCTTTACTCTCTCCTACTCTCTCTATATCTCTCTCCCTCCATTCTCTCTTCTGACATGCTTCAAATTTTCTCTGTCTTTCCATGCTGAATCTTGTTTTTCATTAGAGAAACTTAACTTGCTTTGTTGATCATAGATGAACAGTAAACACTTTTTTTTGTTAATTTAATCTAACTTACAATCCTGTCTTTTCATTGATATATTTATATCATCTTGTGTATTTTTCGTAATCGTAATAATCAATGAACTTCATAGACTGGGTACGTCATATTTTCCTATTATCATTTGTACTCTCAAATATTTTGGGTCAAATTGAGTCTTCAAATTATGATAACCTAAGACAATTGAGTGTTAAAAAATCATCTTTACCGACATCATCATCTCTTAGATCAAATTCACCATCAAATGTCTCTTCAACCCTATTGAGGCTTAAAACATCATCATTTCCATTATTTTTATCACCATCATCTAAACCATCTGCAACTAATCACTGTCAATTTGGAGGCAAAACATATGAACCAGATGATAAATGGAAACCCAATTTAGGATCACCTTTTGGACTTTTACCTTGTGTCTTGTGTCAATGTGTTACCTTGCAGAAAAAGAGTCGAACTGTATCCAGAGTTCGCTGTCGGAATATTGTTTCACATTGTCCTAAACCCAATTGTTCTGAGCCCGTTTTATTACCTGGTAGATGTTGTAAAATTTGTCCAGACACCGAATCAGACGAGTTTGAAGATGATCTCGCGCCACTTATGAACATAGACGTTGAGGTAAGAAGATATTTATTTGATCGTGAAAAAGATTGATTAGGATAGATAATTAGACAATAATAGTATTATGCCAACAAATGTTTTCTATTTATTGCTAGTTTATTAATTTAATTGACTCTACTGTAATTGTAACATTTATTAATCAGTTTATTGCATATCATATATTGAGTTCAATATTAAGCTTGGTTTGACATAATATTGATTCTTTCATATTTACAGACGAGCAATAAAATTATCCATCCAATTTATTATAATTGACAATGAGCATAAACCGTTTAAATATCAAATAACATTTACTAATTTATTTTCCTCTCTTGCCGTTTCAAATAGTCCTTGTGCGAATCATGGCGGACTGTCCCAAAAATCTACAGAAAATTTATGAAGAAAAATCGAATTTGTGCAAACGGAACATCAGCTGCAGCCCCGGTATCACCAACATCTACACCCATGCAAACTCCATCATCTACTGAATCAACACCTACTACAGTCAGGATAACTCCAAGTACCATCTCTTTGCCCCCAACACTTAAAACCGATCAATTTGTAGCCGATGAGCAAACTAACAGTCTCCAATCCAATCAAGAATCGGGTATATTCGTTAGTGAAAATTTTTATGGAGCGGCTTATCCAAGTTCAAAACATCGTAAATGTTTGTATAACAATAAAATGTTTGATGATGGATCAGTATGGAAATCATCCAAAGATACATGTAAAATGTGCTCATGTCAGGTATTTAATTTTATCCCTTTTTCTCTTGATTATCACCTTGATTTACTGAAATGCTCATATTTTTTCTCTCTTACTACAGAAAGGTCAAATAAAATGTGACACAATTGTTTGTCCAGTTCCAAACTGTCTCAATCCAATAACAACAAGTGGAGATTGCTGTCCTTCGTGTTTAGGTGAGTTTCAAAGCAACAAGCAATCGACTTCAATAATTCAAAGCAACCCAAAATGTTTAGACTGGTGTTAGTCTTTTATCAATCTTGATAAATTATGAAAAACAATTAAAGTGGAAATCAAGTAAACCAAAAAAACTCATCCAAACCTATCATGTATTACTAAAGAGTGCACCATTGAATCTTTATACTGACTAGCAAACTACTATTGCTAATTAAGCCTCTGACTGTGTCTCACAGAAGGAGGTCAATACAATTCAGAGAGTGTTCTAAGTCCACATCTCATGATACTCATCGTTATAATATTGAACTTCTTGAAGCTATTTTTTCCTCTTCGTATTTCTCAAAAATCTTGGTAATGAAATTTCATGTTTCCTAATCAGCGTTTTACACTCTCATGTATGATTACTTTGCAGTTTTGCCATACGCTCTATTATACGTTTGTAAGCGGCGCATTACAAAGTCAAAAGCCAGAATATGTGTCTAATTATTTTTCATTTTCTACAATTTAGACCAGTACAAAACTACAAAAATCTTACCACTTAGGCACCTTTCTTTGTCAGACATTTCTGATGATTTTCGATTCTTTTAGAGATGAAAAAACCTATCAAAATTATGATTGTAAACCACATTTACTATCTGTTTTGCTTACATTCAAAATAATCAATTACTCATAATTTATTATTGGCCAGATTACTTTCATCTTTGAAAAACATCCATTGAAATACTAAGTTATTGCTTACCAAAAGCTACAATTTTGAAAAGCATATACAAAAATGAGCGCAATTGGCAAGTTTCCTTGTAAAGATATACTTTGAAATGCCCTTTAGTTAACCTTTTTTGACCGTATATCATCACAAAATCTACGAGAGGGTGAATTTTATTTTATTTTACCTTCAACTCTATCATCAAGTTTACTTCTTTGGAGCAATTTAAAGTTACAATAGATTGTCAACTAGTTCAATTTTACATTGCGATTCAAATACTATTGTATACATAGGTTTTATTCACAACTTGATTCTCTGTTAATGCAGTTTTTTCCACTTTTCTGTTGATAGTAATTTTGGTTTTTCTGTGAGTTACACTTTAAATTTTTATCAATTTATTTTGGTAAAAAAGGGTTGTAATAATTGCCCATGAACTTGAACTGAAATAAAATGGCGTGAGGGTGAGATAGTGAGTGGTGAGGGTTGAGATGGAGAGAGAAAGTGAATAAGCAATGATTAGAAATAATTTTTGGTGCCAAAGTTATGGAGGTTAAGATGTCGAAAATGAAGAGGAAAAAATGATGTCGAGAACAAGTTGGCAGAGTAAAGTAAATTTGAAGCTTGAAAAGCTCAAGATGAAATGAGATAAACAAGCAAACACACAAAAAAATACAGAGAATCATCTCTCCAATCTAATTGTTGACGTATGAATACATTATTTACACGTTAACAAATTAAGAACAATTGTGTATACAAATGATTCCAACATTATCAATCCAGCAGTTGAAATTGAAATTGAAATTTAAAACAAGCTCTTTCCCTTAAATTTTTGATTTGTTTGATTTGCTATTCAATGAGCATTTGTAAACAATTGTTTTTTTGCTATGTAATAAGTCTCTTCACTAGTTATTTATATACCACAATTTAAAGCAATTATTTCATTCAATCACAATTTTCATTTGACTTTTTTAACTGTATTTTTTTGACAGAACGAGATTTCACTGTTAATGGTACATTGGATAACCAGGCTCAAGGATGCTTCTTTGATGGTGATCAAAAGTTTCACTTAGCCGGCAGTCAATGGCATCCATATATACCACCATTTGGTTTTGATAGATGCAGTGTTTGTACTTGTCTGGTAAACAATTTTTCACTCAAAATCAATTATAGTTGACTTGATCATTGTGTACTCACCACAATCAAAAAACGTTTTATCAATCTTTGAGTTTTACCACAAGTCACTCAATTGTTTGTCCTGTGAACACACATTGAAGTTCAATGAAGCTTATTCAAGGTATAAAATCAATTTCAACAAAGCTTTTGACACCAAATCAAACCTATTATCGATGCTGATAATCTCACAAGTAATGAACTAACTTGACTATATGTTAATAATATCAGCTAACCACATAAAGTGCAGCTTGCAGAAAGCTCATTCATCATTTAATTTACCAAATTGAATTATTATCTTTATTCAATCCTTTACTTTCACTCTATTAATCAATCTGTTTGTTCATCTATCTTATGATTCAGGTTTAAAAATTTGGCAATCAACCGTAAAGCTGGTTTAATATTGGTGTAAATATTTAGCAGTTAGAGCTTTTCGTCACTCGATATTTGTCGTAAATCAAAATCACCTTAGTAAAATTCAAGTTCATGGATAGACTCAATAATATTACTAGTTAACAAGAACAAAATATTTTTATTGCATATGCAACATAACCTCATATTCAGATTCAAACATAAAATCAATGAATTGGTAATTGCTGATGAGTAATAAAATTCAATGATCTCTGTTTCACATTTATCGTAAAGTTGATGCATGAGTGTGGTTGAATTTTGTAAAGCATTGACATCTTAACTTGACAAGTGTTATTTAATCACTTGAATGAGTTTGGAAAGCTTTTAACAATGCTTGTCAGTTTTTTGTTTATTTGCTTCAATTTGGTCAAATAATTGAGTGGCGCTATATCTTGATTGTGGCGAATTCAATTAACAGGTTTAAAGTTGAATTTGAACGCATGATCTTTTCTGACAACTTCATTTGAAATCTCTTATCATTTTGACATTTTCTTCCTGACTGGTTTATACAACTTCTGTTTTGTCCTTTTTCATTTCAGCCTGAAACTCTCACCATAACATGTAAACAAAGTATCACTTGTCCAGCCCTTACCTGTTCACCTGAAGAAGCTTACCGTGAAAATGCTTCAGATTGCTGTAAAAAATGTCCCAGTAAGTTTGTTTTTCCTTATTTGTTTCAATCATTATTTATAAATTGGCTTCACACTGTTGAACATTTTCATCCCTATCAATCTAATCACTGTTTATTCCTGTCCGCTTCAAAATTTACAGATATAATTCAAGTAAAATCAATCGATGCTGGGGATGAACTTAGTGATCAATCCTTAGGACCTCGAGTAAAAAGTGCAAATGAACTTGTTTTGGCTGGAGGTAAGAAAAATCCAAACAGATCTATTTACGAAAGATAATACTTTTCAGCAAGTGGAAGATGATATTTTCTGTTTGATGTTTCAACCTCTTATTCATTTACATATTAATTTATTTCAACTCTTTCTAATCAATTTTTTTCCATTACCGTTAGGTTGCATCTTCAATGAAAGGGTTTATCCAAATGGAGATGAATGGCATCCTTATGTTGCACCTTTTGGAGAGATGCGTTGTGTCAAGTGTCACTGTAAAGTAAGCGGTTGATGAACTTTATTTCCATCCTTTCCATCAATTCTTATTTTATCTTTAACCATCTTGTTCCATATCAATCTTCCTATCATCTCTGCTTAACTTCCATAACTATAAATAGCTCTTATTTTCGCTGAAGCTAACTCTTTTCTGTTATTTCTCATTTATTTCTTCATATTTTTTTCATGCTTAACCCAATCACTTTGCAACCTGATCAACAACGTATATACTTACGTTTTAACAACTTTGCGGGATCATGATTACAACACGCATTTTGACTTGGAAAAAACGCCGTTTAATTATAAATTCTGATAATTAGAACAAAACAATCAAATGTGGTCGGATTAAATGCCCATCAGTGACATGCAGTAAACCAATCATCCCCGAGGATCGCTGTTGCCCAGTTTGTAGTGATGACTGATTCATGTTGGTTCTAAATAATGGATAAGAACGCTTTTCAACGGGTCAAACCAAAACTAAAGTGATATAAGCGCAATTAATTTAAAGTACCAAATGAATCGGAGATAATGAGAAACAGTCAAAAAACAAACTATCGATTCAACGCAATTTACAAGTTACAAGGCATTAATGATAATTTTTTTCTTCATTCACGCCATCTTATCTCGCACATTTAAATTGCCCTCTTTTGTTAATTAATTTGGCCTGAAAAGGATCATAGATTAACACAGGTAGCAGGGGAACAGTTTTTCAGCTCGAACCGAAAACTGAACAAGAATACAAGATAACGATTACAATTCTCTATTACATATGAGAAAATTGCAATTGAATTGATACTTTAATTTAAATTTGGAGATTAAATCATCTTTCTTGTGTCGTTAATCGACAGGCAATATTCCTGTTGATTGTGATATAATGCGAAAGCTAAAATTGATTACTCAGAAAGTACACAAACAAATGTTAATATACCGTTGAAACAATGAACTTCAAGTCTAATTGATAATAATTTATTATTATATCTCATTCATTCTGGTAAAATTGTCGCAAGCGAAAAAAACAATACCTTGTCATTTGTAAATCTTATTGTAAAATTAATATTTGATTATTCGATCAATTTTTATTTCCATCTACTTCGCCATTAATTTAAATTCTATAAAATTACTCAAATATTGTCATCTGTTTTGATATCTAAATATCAAGTTACATTTTCTTTTTTCTCTTTCCAATTTGTATTATTTCCAAATTCCATTTAAGATTCATCGAATGTTTCCTTTTTCATGGAAATCAAAAATTGTAAAACTCCATCCAAATTGTATCAATAGTCCAACTTGAAATCTAATAAATCCATCAAATGCGTAATGCAACAGCTAAATTGTTTCCACTGTTTTGTTCATCAAACAAAAAGGATCTTGACCGAAATGATGGCAACTGACCAAAGTCTTGATTTATCGTCTCTTGTCAGTTATTTCAAGCTCAGCCAGAAAAATGAGTTTAAAATTCAATGAAATACAGAGATGCGCTCATCTAAATAGATTCAATCGACTACTTGACCCAATAATTGTGTTAATTTTTCACTGATTAACCAATCAATTGAGTCACAATAGATGGCGCCTGGTAATTAATTGAACAGTTGAAAACTAAAATTAGATTTCAATTAGAAAAGTTGATCTCAACATTTCTCTCTCTTTTCATCTCTCTCTCTCTCTCTCTCTCTCTCTGCAGCTTTCCTCTTGAACTTTCTATCTCATTCATTTTGATAATACAGTTAAACAGCGTTAACCTTTTTTTCTTAGTTTTTTTATCAATTTTTTTGTAAAATTTGCCCAATTTTTCACTTTGTTTTTCACTGACAATGATTTAATTAGTTTATCATGGTAATGGAATACATTTTAATCTTAAATCTCATGATTATCTTGATTGTAAACAGCCTCATCTGTAACCAAATCTATTGATTTTTGTTCTTTTTTTGCATAAATTGCTTCTTATCAATTTGTTTATCTTTCTGTCTCTATCTCTTTCTTTTTCTCTTACCCATCATCTGACCAGACTGTTCCTGTATCAATAATTTAATGTTGCTATGTGACTATTAACATCAACTCGAAGAGTAAAGGAAGTGTGTATTTTTTGTAAGTGTGTGTAAAGTGTGTATTTTTCATCATCGTAATAATCAATGAACTTCAAAGACTGGGTACGCTATATTTTCCTATTATCATTTGTACTCTCAAATATTTTGGGTCAAATTGAGTCTTCAAATTATGATAACCTAAGACAATTGAGTGTTAAAAAATCATCTTTACCGACATCATCATCTCTTAGATCAAATTCACCATCAAATGTCTCTTCAACCCTATTGAGGCTTAAAACATCATCATTTCCATTATTTTTATCACCATCATCTAAACCATCTGCAACTAATCACTGTCAATTTGGAGGCAAAACATATGAACCAGATGATAAATGGAAACCCAATTTAGGATCACCTTTTGGACTTTTACCTTGTGTCTTGTGTCAATGTGTTACCTTGCAGAAAAAGAGTCGAACTGTATCCAGAGTTCGATGTCGGAATATTGTTTCACATTGTCCTAAACCCAATTGTTCTGAGCCCGTTTTATTACCTGGTAGATGTTGTAAAATTTGTCCAGACACCGAATCAGACGAGTTTGAAGATGATCTCGCGCCACTTATGAACATAGACGTTGAGGTAAGACAATTTTTATAATTTGGTCACGACAGACTATTATTCAATGATTCATATTTCTGTTCTAAATAGTCAATATGCGAATCATGGTTGACGGTCCCAAAAATTATGAAAAAATTTCTAAAATCAAATAAAATCTGTTCAAACAATGCATCAAACATTTCAACACCAACATCCACTATAACCAGGATTACTCCAAGTACCAGCACTTTACCTCCAACAGTTAAAGATAATCAAATTATTATTGATGAGTACACTGACACTTTTCAATCAAATCAAGAATCGAATATTGGAAACTCTAATGGAACTACCTATCCAAGTTCAAAACATCGTAAATGTTTGTATAACAATAAAATGTTTGATGATGGATCAGTATGGAAATCATCCAAAGATACATGTAAAATGTGCTCATGTCAGGTATTTAATTTTATCTTTTTTTCTCTTGATTGTCCCCTTGAGTTACTGAAATACTAACAGTTTTTTCCTCTACAGAAAGGTCAGATAAAATGTGACACAATTGTTTGCCCAGTTCCAAACTGTCTCAATCCAATAACAACAAGTGGAGATTGCTGTCCTTCGTGTTTAGGTGAGTTTTTTCTTGTCATCAAAGCAACAAGTAATCGCCTCTCATCATACAAAACAACCCAAAATGTACAGACTGGTGTTAGTCTTTCATCAATCTGGATAAATTATGAAAAACAATTAAAAAGGGAATCAAGTAAACCAAAAAACCCATCCAAACCTATCATGTATTACTAAAGAGTGCACCATTGAATCTTTATACTGACTAGCAAACTACTATTGCTAATTAAGCCTCTGACTGTGTCTCACAGAAGGAGGTCAATACAATTCAGAGAGTGTTCTAAGTCCACATCTCATGATACTCATCGTTATAATATTGAACTTCTTGAAGCTATTTTTTCCTCTTCGTATTTCTCAAAAATCTTGGTAATGAAATTTCATGTTTCCTAATCAGCGTTTTACACTTCTATGTTAACAAACAGCGAAAGTTGAAATCACTGGTTGATTATACACAACAAATTCAATAATCCTGATCTTGAACCTCAAAGATGATATCTTAGCCCATACCTTTAGTCCAGTAAATATCCAAAAAAACGTGAAAAATTGTTGCCTAAACAAGCAAAAAATTTAAACCTTTATAAGCTTAAATTAAAGTGAAAGCAAGTTGAGGTAACAAGCATAAGTCAAACAATTGATTATATCATTGACTGGTTAGCTCTATTATCATCACAATTTACATTAGGATCTTTATTCAATTATAACAATGGTTAAGGATGTTATTAAGCTGACTTTCATAACGAGTTTAAAAATTTTCAACAGCCAAGCAAGGATAAAGAACGATGATGATAAATTTAATGGTAATGTTGGTGAAGATGATGAATAAGATGAAGATTGAAATGTTGAACCAGGCTAAAAACCTAAATCCTTGTGAAGGTATTATTTGAGGTTTTGAATATTGTAAGTTCAGTAAATTATGTTTATCTATTGATATACAATCATGCCACTTTGGTTGAACCAGTTCTTGGGAGACAATGGTTTCCAATAAGCAACAAATGTTACTTACAACACCTCTGTGCTAATAGGACCAACTCCAAAAAGTGATAGTTCCTAAAAAGAAGCAGATGTTATTTTTCTTTGAGTATTTTCAATGCATCGTAAAGCTCATTAGGCGGTCAAAAAATTAATCAACCAATTGGATTCTCAATTAAATGCACAAAAATCGTCCAAATTTATAATTTGAATATCAATACAGTTCTTTGCATCCTGATACAGCAAACGAAGAAATGATTGGAAATTAGTGGAAAACATTTGCTTCTAATTAGAAAACATATTCTCCTTTTTAGGAACTTATTACTTTTTGGAGTTGGTCCTATTAGCACAGGTGTTAAAAGTAACATTTGTTGCTTATTGGAAACCATTGTCTCCTATTTAAAAACTGGTTCAACCCAAGAGGAATCATCATTTATATGTTTGTTTTGTTGATGTTAGAAGACGGAAAAATGTTGACTAAAGCAACATTTTTCATCTTGTTTCAGCTGTAATTTCATCTTGCTCCTCATTTTACACCATTTGAGCTGTTGAGCTTGGATTAGACCAACTTTTCACCAAAGAATTAGTCCTTTTTAGGTTGGATTAGGCTCTTCCTTGGAAGCCTTAACCATTAAAACAGGAATTTAACAAATGGGTAAAACTAATGGCTACCAGAGTAAAAAGACACTAATTTTTCAACACCTAAATTAGATTAACCCAAGAAAATACCATAATCTTATTGATCAGTTACCATTGTAATCAGAGTAAATAACTTTTCTTTACTATTTCATTGTAATTGACAATTTGTTGGTAAAAAATTAACTAATCAACTTACCAAACAGATTGAAATTAAAGGGTGTTAAGGTTAGTAAGGTTCAAGCAATCACTTACCCAAATGTCGATAAGGAGATAAAGATGATAAAATGAAATTGTCTCATCGTCTTCGTCTTCATCAAACATCTTTGCCATTTTCATTTTTATCAATTTTTTATTTGCTATCAATTTACTAACCTTAACACCCTTTAATTGGTAATTTCACTTTTTTTTGTAAAAAAATTAAAATCCATTGAAAATTTACATTTTGGGTTGAAAGGGTAAAAATGTTTCTTTTTTTTCTGATTTATAATTATTTTTACTTTTTGCCCAATCAAATGTGTATTGCATTGAAATGTTTAATTATGATTAATTATCGTTATTATCCATTGATTAACTTTCTGGTTAAACTTAGTTGAAAGCTTATTTTCTGAAACTCTTCTTCTTGCATCTAAATTATGTTTGAAAAAGTGTTCAGTTGATCATGATGATTAGACTGATTAAGTGCATTCAGGTTATTTATCTTTTGATAAAATTAAAATCTGTTTAGCCTTGACTGTCTACCTAATTTACCAGTTGAGCTCAACTTGAATCGCATGATAATCTGTCTACTGAACAGTAAATAATTTTAGCATGCAAAGAGGAACAAGAAACAGATAAATCTAAGTGAATATGAACATTAAAAGATAATATGGAAATGAATAAGAAAAAAAGTGTTGAAAGAGTCAACAATCAGATGAATTAGCAATCTAAATGAGAGAAACAAGAGAAAGCCAGTTAATTGTTAAACTTGAATTTAAATTAGCAAATTACTGTTTTTTTCAATTTACCAAATTTTGGTCAAAATTTGAAACCAGACCATTTGGTATTGACTTGTTGAGATTGAAATTTTTTGCCTGATTTATATCTTCTATATACATTGTATTACAATGTATTTCAACTGTTTCAGTTTGTTAATTTTTATTTCAGTTTATTTAAAGTAACCCAATGAATTGGTGAAAAGTTGAGACCAAATAATGATTTAATTAGATGTTGATTAAACTGAATTGCTTGGAAGAGGAAAGTAAAAAAGATTGAGAAAAAAAGGTTCAAAGTTTGTATTTTTGAAAAAGCCTTTTCTGCTCTGCTTTTAACTACTCAATTTGTGTTTACATTTGTTTGGGTGATTATGATGAGGTTGATGATGAAGATAAAGATGATGATGATGGAGCTTCTTCAGCCAATTATCTATGGGCTGTAAGCCATTGCACTTTAGTTACAATCGACAATAAGCAGATGAGAATTAAAATAAACATCAGCAATCAACATTGATTGTTATCATGATCTCATTTCACGTAAACTTACAGAGTTAAATTGTTATAATATTTACAATCTACTGTCAACACTTACAACACAGACAACAATGAACCCTAAAATTGACTCAAGTCTTGACTTTTTTTTATTATAATTTTGATTGATTCCATTTTTTATTTGGTAAAAAATTGGGTTAAAATTTGACAACACACAAATTGATTGGTTTATGATCAATATTGTGTTTATTTTCAGGTTAAAATTATAAATACAAAAAATGTCATTTGAACGAAAAGGTGATTTTGCTTTGTTTGATTGTAAATTATTCAAGGTAAAATGGGTTTGCAATTTTGTCTCAACAATTGAAATAATTTTATCAACCTCTTTGCTTAATTTTATAATGCAAGTCAAGTTTACATGAAGTTCATTGTCATTTTGGTTAACAATGAATTTCTCTGTGAATACCAGGAAAAATACCATGAGACATGAATGTGATAAAAATCTCTTTTTATCATTTCATGCCAAAATATTTGCATCATTAAACAGTTTCCCAAACTGGTGATGTTGAGCCAAAAAAGAAGTTTAAAAACGTAACTTTTTTTTTCATTCCTTGAAATGTTCACTTGAAGTAATTCAAGATAATCAGTAACATTTTTAAAGAAATTATCACACAATTATCTCACAGCAATCTAACTGTAATCTAATAATAATCTGATAATATTTTGATAATCTTGCATCAATCTTAATCAAGACAGATTCAACTTTTTTTTTCTTCTTGAAACGGTTTCACAAAATTTGTTTGATTTCAAAAGATTCTGATAGATTGATTGATATAAAGTTAATTGAATTCGTGATTCCATTACAATTAGCTGTTTGTTAACAGAAGAGATGAAAAACACTTTTCCATTGATTAAACATTCACCAAAAAAAATCACAAAGTCAATCATAAACAATTGATAAGATGAAATGTATTCAATTTTAATCTCAATAAATAATGAAATGATCCATTAATGATTAGTTAGGAAATTGTATTAAACTGTAAAATGATTGATGGTTACAAGTTTGCTGCCTTTCATCACTAACCAATGGTCAAACAATTAGATTACGTTTGATTTATGAAACTCTTGACTAGTTGATGAAAAATTGTTCATTGTTTTGCCTTGAAAGTTAATCTAGTTTGTAAAGCCATTCATTAAACAATCAACAAATCACGAGCTTAATCAACATTTCAAGGCGTAATCAATTCAACAATTTACCTTTAAATCACTATAATTACATTTTCACATTACTAGGTCAACCCATTGGTGTAGATATATTTCAATCTTCATCTTCATCAGAATATCGTTATTCAAACCTCAAATGGGGACGCTCAAAAAGATCCTATTCTCATGAGAGGTATCTTGAAGTTATGGTGGCTGCTGATCATTCAATGCAAGAATATCATGGAGAAAATCTTCATCATTACATACTCACACTTATGGCTACCGTAAGTTGGTTAAGATTGTCAAGCAAAGAAGGCAAATATGATATAAATAACCCTTCAGACTCTAGAAAAACAATTGAGTAAAGCAATAAAATGCGACCAATTAATTCAATTGTATTAGCCTTGTTTTTTTCATTCTCAACAATTTTCCCTCCATTTTCATTATGCATCTTTTTTCTTGTCTCTCACTTTGCCTTCAAGGTTTCCAAGGTTTACAGTGATGATAGTATTGGCAATCATTTGCGTATCTCAGTTGTTGATGTTAAAATGATCCACCGAAGAGAGGTAAACAAAAGTTAATTAACTGTTGATTAACATTAATCTTGAAGCTTGTTCAAAGAAATCAGCCGATTAATCCTTTTCCTAGTCTGTATGTCAAATTTAGTTGCTAACGGTCCTTTCAATCTTCATCATTTACAAACATGACAAAAAGACTAATTGAGTCTGATTTCTGACTTTTTTTTACCTTTATTTAACGTCCATCAAAATTCAAGGCTACCTGATAATCCTTTTCTTTGTGATTTTCTTTTACAGTTCACATTAACGGATCATTCGCTTACATCAACTTTACAACAGTTTTGCCGATGGCAAAGACTTCGAAACACTGGTCCAACCTATGATTGCTCTATTCTCTTAACTCGTCATAACCTTTGTCAGGGTCACAATAGTTGTGATGCCTTGGGTCTAGCTAGGTCAAGTACTGTATGTAATACAAATCTTAGCTGTGCCATCATTGAAGATAATGGAATGTCAGCTGCCTTTACCATCGCTCATGAAATTGGTCATATGTAAGCTGTCTGAGTTTTTTTCAGTTCAAATCAATAACTTGATTTTTTTCACAGCTAAGTGTTCAATATTTATCATGTTTCCTGCTTTTTATCTCTTTTTCTAATATTTTTCCTGTATAGTCTTGGATTACCTCACGATGATGACAGCAAATGTTTAGAATTTTCCAGGAACCGACAACCCGAGCGGAAAGTTATGGCTCGTTTACTCGACAATCGTAGTCATCCCTGGAGCTGGTCAAACTGTTCCCGACATTTTCTTACTGAATTTTTTGAGTAAGTTTAGTACCGTTTGAATTTTTTCAATTTAAAATGCATAAATCTTTTGTTCACCTTGGTTAACCTTTTTTTCTTGATTGGCATTCTTTCAGTGCAGGTTATGGCTCGTGTTTACTTAACAAACCTCCAGTTAACCTGTTAGATCGCCATTTCGTACACTCTGTGAATGGAATATCTGATGAACGAATCTCAATAGTTTCTCCTTCCAATGCATCTATTACATCATCATATTTATCATCTTCGTCATCGTCACCGTCCTTGTCTTCGTCCTCGTTGTCGCTATCTTCAACATCACCATCATCGTCATCTTCAAAATCATCCTTGTCCTCGTCTGCATTATCTTCATCTTCATTATTTTCAGCACGACCATCTTCCTCATTACCATTCTTATCATCATCACAATCTTGGTCACGTACACAGATGCCTACCATTTACGGTCGTCATGCACAATGTGAACTGGTTTTTGGTCCAGACGCTTCTGCTTGTCCTTATGAAGAATCTTGTCGCGTTTTATGGTGTGACATACCTGGTCACGGGTGCCGTACTCAACACATGCCATGGGCTGATTTTACACCTTGTGGTAGACATGTTTTACAACAGTGTTATCAAGGATCATGTGTCTGGATTAATGCAACAGAAAGAACTCCTAAGGATGGTGGTTGGGGACCATGGAGTAGCTTTTCAGAATGCTCAAGATCTTGTGGAGGAGGAGTACAACGAGCAACACGAGAATGTGACAATCCAAGGTAAAATTTGCAGGAATCAAAATTTATAATTTTATTACATTTATTTTTATTGCATATTTTTATTTATTGATATATTCAATCTTTAATCATGTTTTTTTGTTTATTTACTTTAGACCTAGTTATGGAGGTAAATATTGTATCGGTGAGAGAATAACATACCGTTCGTGCAATAATCACCTTTGCCCAGAAGGTAGTGGAGATTTTCGAGCTAGTCAATGTGCTGAATTCAATAATCTTACTCTTGGAATCAAAGAACTTGGCAGGGACGTTGAATGGGTTCCTAAATATAATGGTAGTGCACCTATTAGATACAAAACTAAAGTCACATTGTTTTAGCATTTATTAGTACAATCTCTAAAATGCTTGTTTCATTTTATTTCATTTTCTAGTTGCTGAAAAAGATCGTTGTAAATTATTCTGTACAGCCAAACAAACGGGAATCTTTTCTATGTTAAAACGAAAGGTAATCGACGGAACACCTTGCAGTCTTGAAACGAATGATATTTGTGTTAACGGAAAATGTATGCCTGCAGGCTGTGACCATATTCTTAAAAGTGACAAAAAACTTGACTTTTGCGGTGTCTGTGGTGGAGATAACTCGACATGTCAAGAAGTTGTCGGTTCGCTTAACCATGTCCAAGTTCATCATGGCTATAATTCTCTAGTGATTATACCAAAAGGTGCTGCCAATATTGAGGTTGTTCAACACAATTCATCATTGAGGGATCATCATTATTTAGCACTTAAAGCCGCTGATGGAAGCTACCTAATCAATGGAGGTAAGGTTGTCTCACTTGAAAGGAGGGTGATTCCTTACGCGGGAACTGTTATCGAATATTCAGGATCAAACCAAACAATGGAACGAATTAATGCTTCCAAGCCAATCAATGAACCATTATTTATTGAAGTATTATCTGGAGGTGATTATTCACTTCCCGAGATAAGATATCGATACTCTTCAGCTAAACCAAATGTTACACGATTGTCAAATATGGTTAAACCTTGTACGAATTGCACAAAATATGCTTGGCGTACTTCTGATTGGGGATTGTGTTCCCGACCTTGTGGCTTTGGTATTCAAAAGCGTTCAGTCATTTGTTTAAAGAAAAACAAAGATGCAAATCATTTTTTGTATGATAAAAAGCATCGACGTAACTTAGGTAAAAAGTATCAATCACTTAAAAACAAATGTGACCCGAAAAAAAGGCCTCACCATTGGCAAAGATGTTTTCTTGGCGATTGTAACGGAGGTCCAAGATGGAGAACAGAACCATGGGGACAAGTAAGATTTTACTCTTAATTTCCAGTCAGACATCGCCAGTTGATCAAAGATCACGCATAACTTGATCATGTTTTGAAAATATCCATTGAATAAATATTCCCAATCAATGTAATTACAATTTTTTCAATCTCTAATAATTTTTCTGTTTTTTATTTTCTAGTGTTCAGCAGATTGTGGACTTGGTAAACAACGACGATCAGTACCTTGTACTGACGGTAAAAGTGGAAAACGGATCAACAGACGATTTTGTGATGCCAATTATCGACCTCAACGCAGGAGAAAATGTTTCCTCAGATCATGTCAACCAATGTATGGTACATTATGATTAAAGAAACAATTGTTGATGAACACTTGAGTGTCTCTGAGACTGACAAATGCACTTTTTTTATCTCCAAATTTGTCAAATTGACATTCTTTTAATTTCAAAACAAATTAGATTCATGCAATTATTAACCATCGATCTCAAGTTTAAATTGTTTGCCAACATTTAGTTGTAAAAAGCTTTTCATCTACAAGCATTTATTAATATATTTCTCAAAACCAGAAAATGTCATTTATTTATATTCAATTGATATTCACAATCTGAGATGTCAATAAATAATAGAAATAACTTTTACAATTTAAACAATTGAATTTGATACAATTTGTGAGGATAAAATTGCAATAAATTTCCTCTAATCAAGATTGTTATTGTAATAAATATGATTCGATTCGGATCCAATAAATTTACTTTATTGTCAAATTTACTTTTACATTATCTATTTAATCCATAAAGATGTTCAATAATTGGATTAACAATGAAACATTGATGCTCATAGATATTAATGTGATTGAATAATGTAATTTGGGAATTAATTTATACCAATTCAGCCTTTCTCCGGCTTTTTATTAACATCTAACATGAAGAAATGCGAAAAACAAATGAAAATCTATGATAAATCTGAACATGAAAAACCAAAATGATGCTCCAAATTGAATTGTAATCTTTATTTTCCTCCTTTCTGCATCTTTTCCCGAAGATCACCATAATTAGGTAAATTGCTTCGGTAATGAAGGATATAGTCAGGTAAATCAACTCCCATTGCTAAGGAAAGATTTAAAGGACTTAGTAAATCAAATTACAAATCATGGAGAAGAGTCTAAATCTTTATTGAAGCACTTAATTGAAGCAATTTAAACAATTCTCTAATTTTGCCTCATTCAATAATTAAACAATTGATAAAGCATTCAAGTTGGAAATTTAATCACTTACCAGCTCTTTTAATGGCCTTAGACGCGAGTAACTCTTCAATGGTTAACGGATCAAACAAAGTTTGTGGTAAAATATCAAATGATCGTTTATGTCGAACCATTTGATTGTAATTAGCATTTTGGTTAGGTGTTAAATAATTACGGCCATCAACAAGGTTAATTGAAAACATGAGAAGAAGGATTACTTTCACAATTACAATTAGTTGAGCCACTGATTTACACGGGGAAGATGGAAAGAAGGTTGAATTCATTTTGACTGGTTAACAATGAAACAAAAATATAAATCAAAGGATTCAAGCAGCGATCTTAAATAGCGGTTAAGATAAACTATCTCGATCAAATTCAACGCAATTCTGTTAATTGTTTCAATTTTATCTCTTATTTTGTTCAATATCTCATTGTAAGTCTACAACCTAAGCTCCACTAGTTACAGTCGCAAGTGCAAAATTGTGATTCCTAGAGATTTAAATTCAAGTCAATGTTCATTGTCCAGGTGTTAGATATTTACAGCTAATTGTACTTTAAATCTATAAGATTTTGGGCGGAGAAATGATCAGAATCGTCTCAGATAGATTCTGGTATAGAAAGGTAGTTTGATCTAGAGTAAACCTTTTGTTTAATCAATTCATCATTCAGGCGTAATTGTTGTCTCTTATTGTGTTTAAAGGTTAATTGACTTTTTGTCAAAGTCTTTAATTAGATGAACAAGTTAATTAGTGAGTGTTGATCAGATTAATTGCCATTTTAAATGTAAATTTGTTTCAAAGACTTAATCAGTGACGTTATTTGAATGTAAATGTATTAATATGGCGAAGACTTTTCTTTCTCAGTTTAAAATCGATTCTTAATGATTACAATCATCTTAATCAATTTTACCTTTAAACATCTTTTAAAATAATTTTCTTGGAAGACCTTTTCCTTCCCTTTGGTGTAGATGATAATTGCGTTGGTAAACCCAAAATACTAAATCAATCTAAATCGTCCTCACTTTGGCAATGGCAAAGGTTATAATCATTCTTGTTCTGTTTCCGTAAACTTTGATTATCTCTAGAGATTTGGTGAAATATATAACCGGAAGATGAGCATGTAATATAATCAATAAAATCCATTAACAATATTGAATCTGTTTCGGTGAAAAATAATTTGTTTTCAGGTTCTTTTGAAACAAAAACAATCATTTGTGGGTTACATTTTTCCTATTAATATCACAGCTACCTTCAACTCTCAGCGGTTTGGCTTTTCAATACATTACTATGTTTTTGAAATAGTTTAAGATGATAAATTATCAACTGTCAATATTGTCAATAAATTTTACCCAAAATACAATTAAATAGATCAAAAATTTGTCGTTGTTTGATTTATTAAATTTGTAAATCAAGTAAATTTGATTTCTTTAGTTGTCTAATTTTACATTATTATTTACAAAAGTAAAGATCACATTTCAAGAGGAAGATATTGCTATTGAGAACATTTTTGTTAATTTTTTAACTGCTAATGATCAATTTGTTATGGAATTGGAAAAATATTTTAAGTTAAGATGGTCATAGAAGGGTTTCAAGGGTCAAGCTTTTTCAATTTGAGTCATGAAGGTGGCATGAAATAGGAACAGATTGGAAAAAATTGAAGTATTTTGTTGATTAATTTATGCCTAATTGTTATCCCCAGTTATTCATCCACCGATTAAATCTAGTATAAATGGTTTCTTTATGGATTACTGATGGTGATCCAACATATGGAAAGGGTTGATCCGGGAAAAATAATGTTTCATTTTGAGGTGATAAATGGTGATGTCCGTATGATGAAGATGAAGGCATCAACGATGAAACAATTCCTTTTCTCTGTAAAAATAGAAAAAATAGAAAAAAATTTAGCAACGATTGGTTAGTTCGATGGAAATAAAGAGTTACTTACAAATTCATTTGAGTTTAATTGTAAATAAATTTCAGTAATTTCACCATCAGCAACTGAAAATGTTTTACTTAATGGCTCAAAGCCTTCAGCTTTAACCTCAACGGTATAAGTTCCAGGTAACAATATCCTCCATATTTCACCTTTATCTGAGCTTTTAAATGAAATGTTACGACCTTTAATCATTAGAATAGCTTTTGGAATGGGATTTCCGTTCATGTCATGAACTAAACCACGAACTCCTCGATGAGCTTCACCCATATACGTTAATAATGCTTGCTTATTGTCAAACCAAAATTGAGACAGTTCATGGCTATAAGGATATTTACAACACGATAATTCCAATGTTAATTCCATGCACCCTTCCCAGATATAATTGTAATCTTGCATTCCTCCTGTTGAAACAATCAAGAAAGAAAAATTTGATTAGTTAATTGCCAATATAATAAAAATATAAGCTGATTACCAGTTTCAATAAAGCACTCAGTGCACACTAAAACGTGATTACAAGTCAACATTAACAGAAATGTCAATTTCAATTCAATCTCAATTTATAATTTTCTGTAAAATGTTAACAGCATGAGCCGAAGATTACGTTTTTACAAGTTACAAAATCAGACAATTGATTGATACTTATCAATTCTTGTGGTCAATACAAGTCTGAAAGGCCTGAAAAATGAACATTAATGAGTATTTTTTACCCAAAAAACGATGAGATGATAAAGGATTGGTATAATCCTTTGTTATTTGTGATTCAAGGTTAGGTTTTGAAACTAATGAACTCAACGCCAAGCCCTTTTATAATTAATTCATATTAATTCAATGGCCTTTAATCAGGTAAGTTTCAATGAACTTAAGACAGTGAAAAAAATCAAGTTCTATAAAAGTAGAACTAGAATTGCAAAGTTGACTGAGAAACAATTCTTAGAAAAAATTGTGAGTTTTATCATGAAAAATCTGACAGATTTCGTAAGGTTTATTACTAGACTATAATCATAACTTGATCTTTCGGATAAAGCTTTTCATTGAAGCTTCATCATTTGGCAGAGGAAAAAAAGGATCAAAATTAGACTTAAGACAATCAATAGAAGGTTGAAGGTAAAATCAATGACCATTCATTACTGGACTATAATTAGCTATCAATCAATTTATGATATTTTGAAGGAAAAATATTTATCCAGATGATAAAATGAAGAGTCAAGTGTTTAAAAGGATTTCTTTTGTTGACCACAAATAGAATGTGAATAGACAATAAGAGCAAAACCTCTTTGAATATAATAATAGCACTAAGTTGAGGTAAGAAATAGATGAGAAAAAAAGAGATTAAGGTGAAATTCAGGTGAGATTTAGCGATGCATTTCAATGATTTCTGTTTCTTTTAGTAAACAGATGAATATAATGTTTAATAACAATCAATCTTTTCACTTTCACAAAATGCATTATTTATGTTTGGTATATTTTTCAAAGCAGAATCTGACCTTTTTTTGGTATATTATTTTCAGTGCCATTTATACCATTTTATTAGTATTGTGTTGCTTGCTGCTCTGATGATTTATAATTCAGAAGCTTTATAACTTATCAACATCTTTCTCATCTTCATTCAGTTACAAACTGTCATCAGGTAAGCTTAGTGATTAACTTGGCAAGAAGGTCAAAAAGTTGCGCCCTTTGATTGGAAAATATAATAAGACCGAGAATTGATTGTTAACATACTAATAAACAATTTTAGATTTTGAATAAACACTTAAATGCTATACAATTGTTAGTCTTCTGCAATAAATAACAAGATTAATCAAGAATCTTAGCTATTAAAAGCAGGTCAAGTGATTGGTTGACCTCTTTTTTGGTAATGAAGTAGCAACAATGATGAAGTTTAGCCATCAAATGATAATATTTTTTTCTGGTAAAATTAGTTAAACAAGTTAAAAATTGGAAATATAATTGTCTAATTGAATGGTTTAAAGTAACTTTTTTCAAGATTGGATTCACGTTTTAAGATAATGAGTTAGCTTCAAGATTGACTGATGAAAAATGTCAGAACAAGTTCACATTTAAGGTGTGAATACCTAATTGATTGGGATGAATTCAGTTCATATTTTAGATTGCTTGTTGCAAAATAAATTAACAATAGAAAGTTGAAGTTTCCTTCTTGAATCAAAAATTCAAAAAATCAGATTAAAATCATCAATAAGAGTCCTTTGTTAGGTTTGGGACAGAATTATTGCTAAATATCAAAATGAATAATCTTGAAATGTTTCCCAACATCAACAGAGTCAACCAACTAATTCAGATTTATCAACTTTTCATTCAGGTTTCTTCTAACAACCATTTAAATAGAAGTTTCAAGCTCAATTCAGGAAAACGGAAACGGTAAAATGTTGGCTCAACCAAAAAAGAAGTGACAAAAAGTGCTTTAAAAAATGGTTAAAATTCATTTCTTTGCCTGATAAGAGAAAATATTAGACAGAAATGGTTTAATTAGTTAGCTTAGTAGACTAGTTGAAGAAAAAGTTCCCATAAAATTGCAAATTGAGTTTGATTAGAAATGAAAAATAAACCATGTTTCTCACAAAAATTAGCTTAGCGTGAAGCTTAAACAATTCGTACTTTTCTTCAACACTAAACATGTCGAGAGCAATGTCTGCATTAACAAACGGCATAGTCTCGTTATTGGTACTGTGAATTTTACTCACCAGCAAGTGGATACCAATGAGCTCCATTGGTAGTACCATTAGGGAATCCATTGGTTCCTCCAGGTCCAGGACATGGTTTACCAAGATGCATGGTTCGGTGGTTAAATGAGTATATTTTGGCAAGATGAAGGAAAACATCATCATCAGGAGACGGTGAGTTTCGAGCTGCTTTTAGAGATCCTAAGACTGAATTAGAAAAAAATAAGTATTTAGCATTGGTGTCCACCTTTTATCTTGGAGCAAATTTTGGTTTGATGATCGACTCACTTCCTTGAGGATAATTGTCAAATGGATAACTTGCAACTAAAGCACCTCCATGTAAATTGGCTGATAAAACAAATGGAGTTTTCCGAATCCATTCTTGAATGGCTTGTGTTTCTGGCTCAATCGGTGCATCACTTGGCGTAAAGTAATCAGGGAAATTTCGATTAAGATCACGACCATGAGCATTCCCTCTATTCATTGTGAAAATATTAAAAAAGTTAGTAATGGGCATAAGAAAAAAGGCAAAATTTTTCATTGTACTCTTCTTACCTTCCAGTGCTACCATGGCATTGGCCTTCTTTAGACATTTCAAAACCATCGGGATTCATCGAGGGCATAATATGAATTTTTGTATTGTCGATGAGGTATCTTACATAGCGATCAGACTCGTAGTTGGTAAGTAAGTGTAAGATTAAATGGAGAAGCATTTCACGACCGACAGCCTGGTAATAGAAATTGTAAGGTTTGGGTTAAAAGTAATTCAAAGTAGTATTTCATGGAAAAGTTGATGATTATAACAAAGTTGGAGATGACATTTACCTCGTTACCATGCATATTTCCCACATATTTAACATTTGGTTTCATCAAGACATCTGAGTTGACATCTTTACTAATCAACATGACCCAAAGCTCTCGACCTAAAGATGAAGAAAAAGTTTCCATTTATAACTTAAAAAATTGTACAAATCACATACAACTTACCTTGGACAGATTTCCCTATTGAATAGAGTGATGTGAGATGTGGATAGCTTCGGTGAATATCATTGAGAATTGATGTCATTTCATTATAGTTGTGATAATTGAAGTCAATGGTGGGCTGACCACGTACATAATTAATGGCTGCTAAATAAATAATGAGGATGACACAAAAAAATGAAGAGAAACAAAGAACAGAGAGCTTCATGATGGAAAGGTAATCCGACTGGTTTGGTAAAGTTGTCGTTGGTTTTCGGTGTATCAAAAGGTGATCAACAATTCACTAGAAAATTAATAAACAAGGTAAATAAAAAGAGCGAAAAAACTGAGATTAATATATTTGAATGCTTTTAGACAATGATTTATCTGCAATAAAATGACGAGAACGACATGATTGAAATCAAACAAAAGCAACATTTGAAGGTGACAGAATAAGCAGCATTAAACACAAACAGACATTAAACTGATTAGAGCATTAACAAAGTGGGGAAATTTCAAAAATTAGTCGATATACTTGAGAAAAGGTAACAATTTAAATAATAGTTCAATTTACCTAAAACACGGCGTTAGTTGATTAACATTATGGATAACAGCACTTCATCATGTAATTGTAAAAATTTAACCTAAAGGAGAGGGAACATAAACCGTTGAAAGAACAAGATGAAAACAGAAAGAAATTTGACTTGATGCAGATGAAAAAGAGGAGCTGAGAGCCCGACTGGTTCTAATTAATTGACTTGCAAGGCAACTTTATGTATACAGGTAACTGTTCAGGTGATAGAGAAATGGGAGAAAAGTGAGCAACAATAAGACGCTGAGAAGCAATAAATAAGGAGGGGGAGAAGGAGAGAGAGACAGAAAAAGGTTAGTGCCAAAATTTAGATCAAGTTTTTTTATCTTCACATAAAGGCAAGATCGTCGATTCATGAAGTGGGTCCAATAGAGAGAAACATTTGCGGATTTACCAGAGTTGACCCCTCACCATCATCATCATCATAACCACCATTATCTTGTTTTTCTTGTTACTATCCCTTGCGGGGATTCGTTTCCGTAAACGCTGAAAAAAAAGAAGAAAAAAGATATTGTCATAAGGTCAACATTCAAATATTTAAGCTTCTTTACTTGCCTATTATGCCCATGTTGTTAAAACGCTGTCTTTTTACAAGATTACAAAGTTTTGAGATACAATAAGTTGAAATCACCAGGATCTATTATAACCCACAAAAACAGATTGAACACCATGAACACCGATGAAAGACACAATAAACTTTCATGATTGTAAAGATGAGTTTTGAAGTCAAAGTCCAAGATTGATTAATTTAAGAAACTGTAAAAACTGATGAAAACTAATAGCAAAATATACAAATATCAGACTTATGTTTAATGGCGCAATAAATGAATTGAAGAGTTACAAAACAATCTCTTTGTTCGCCAAAAATTAAGAGCCAGATTCAAATGCGAAATCAACAAGTTAAAGAGTTGGATTGGTGTTAACTGGTGAAGATACACAAACAATAAAGCTCTAACAAAATTGGGTACACATCAAAATTACAAAATTGTTTCTGATTAACCCAAAATTGTTAAAAAAAGTCAATTTTAGATTAATCATGATGATTTGACACTTGAAATACAAAACTTCTGACGACCGCATGTGGCTCGATCTACTGTTAATGACTTTCATGCCATTAATGTTATGTTGATAATATTCAATGTTTTAATGATTTTTTAGATGAAATTTTTTGTAAAAATGCTCAAATTATCGTCAAAAATTAAAATTTAATTTCATCTTGTAACCAATTTGTCAAGAGACTCTCTCTTCAGTAAACATTTATCACAATTGGAACCATCTTTTGTCCATTTGAAGATTTATTGACTTTATAGTTTATGTTTATGAAATTTCCAGTGAAATGATTGCTATTTCTCAATGGGAAATTTGCCTAAATTGGCTTTATTTTAGAGGTCTCAACAATTAGATAATTGTAGACAATGTGATTGCATATTCAATTGATTCAAGGCTACTCGATTTATTTGACTTTTTCAAATCAATCGAGATCAACAACAATCTGATTTATTAATTTGAGTGCTAATATTGACTGAAACGTTGATCAAAGGCATGGAAATGTTTTACTTCATACGGCCTTCCCGATTCAGTTGACGGTGACAATTAAAATCTCACAATAATTGATTTCGAAAAGAATCAACAAATAATTGAGTAATTCAAAGCAAAATTCTGTTCTTTCCTCAAGGCTCATGCTTCTACTTATAAACAATTAAATGATTATTTCTACTTTCTCTTGATTTAAGTCAACTGTTTTTATCATTAAAGAGCCAAGATAAACCATCGATCAAGATAATCAATCTAATCAAGGATTCATATTATCGATTGAACAATGTGAGTTATTTAACCATTTTAATCCAATTCATGTCTAATATTCATTTGTTGAACAAATAACTCTGAATCTTATGTTAGGATAAAAATATAATAACAATTGTAAGTTTTTTTCTTGCATAGATGCAAAATAGATTACTACTAGATGGAGTCCATCTCGCTTTGATATTAAAAGGTTTTTTGTATCAGCTGATTTTCAAACTTTTTGTTTCTTAAGTTTCTCTTTTTTGAAATATTGCTGTTATAATTTTGTTAATCTGATTAATGATTAAATCTTCTGAAATTTTCTTTAATTTATCGTATTGTGTTCACTTGTCTTGGGTTCGTGACTGATTGAGCCATCAAGGTGATAATCACCAATATTTTGTCACTATTGAAAATCAAATGACTCTGATTATTTATTAATCCCTCTCCATTGAGTTTAAATCATTTGCAATCGTCAACTATCATTTGTTTATAATTACAACGATGTCAACCTCTTTTAAGTCCTTGACAATACCGAATCAGGGGACGAGTACAACTTCTAATACATCTACAACAGCCGCTAAACCAAGTACAAGTGTATCAACCTGTACTGAATGTAAAAAGAAGTTCATTGAATCGTTTTTAAAGACAAATTTTGATTACAATGTTTGCAATGCATGCAGGTGAGATGAAATTATTTAATGACAGTCATGATTTCGCATTTAATCTGGCATCTATGCCTCGTCATTTTGTTGACTGTCTCTCAATAATTTGAGAAACATATGCTATACTTTATTTGACTAATTTTTAAAATACAATTCTTTTTTTAATCAGAGATCCTAAGGATAAACATAGTTTGATCACTCGAACAGAGGCTAAAAATGAATATCTTCTTAAAGACTGTGATCTGGATAAAAGAGAACCACCATTGCGTTTCATTGCCAAAAAAAATCCTAATCCTTTGGCTCGTGGTGATATGAGACTGTATCTTCACATTCAAGTGGAGGAAAGAGCATTAGAGGTTTGGGAATCTGAGGAAGCCTTGATTGCTGAGAAGGAAAAAAGAAGTGGCAAGAGAAAGGATAGACAAAAGAAGGACTATGACAAAAAAATGAAGACTTTAAGAATGGAAGTCAGAAGTAGTCTGTACAAGAGGAAACCATCGGCTCACATTCACGAATATGGAGAGGAGAAATACATAGAGTCCGAAGATATGTACGAGAAAACCTGTAAAACATGTGACCATGTGGTATCATATGAGAAAATGTAAAATTATTATGTCAAGTGTTCAAAAATGACTGCAATTTGGTAACCAGTGACAATGATAAAATGCATTTTTCATGTCTTCGAATGAATATTTCAACTAACTTTCACATCATTTTGGTCATCTAAATACTATGCATGTCTAGCATACTCATCTAACTCCAAAGAAACCATCATGAAACTCACTCTCTACTTAAACGTTACATCGTCTATTTTAATTTCATCGTATTCATAACACTTTTTTGTAAAATGTTGTCTTTTCCAAACTTTACCGGCTGCTAAAGCATTTATTGAAATGCTTTATGCTATTAAAATGTTGTTTTAATTCTCAGAGCTGAAAATCAATATGTATTTCAATTGTTGACGATGTAGTTGATAAAAAAGGCTAGATATTTTAGGCATTTAGCTTTTTTATGGCCCTCTATTTTATTAGCATCAGACTTTTATACAATTTACCTTGATTTTGAACTTCCATTCAAAAAACTGTCTTAAGTGCAATATGATTCAAAGCTCTTTTTACTTTCCTAACTTAAACTCATTCTTCGATTTCAATAATTGGAGTGAAAAATTGTAACAATGTCCTGTAAAGCTGAAAATATTTTAAATGAATTCAGTACAAGTTAATTACCAATGACTAACTGTATTGCAAACATGAAGAGAAACCGTTTCACTGAAAATTTGCAGTGAGTAATGCTGTCTACTAAAGAAATAAAACTGATTGAGTAACTTTTTATTGATGATTAAATTTATGAATGAAAATCTTTGTCAGATAAATCAAGCGATAAAAAGAAATAGTAATCATTTTAATTACAAGATTATTAAAAAAGCTCATTTCATTACAATGATTCGGTATTCCATTCATGTTTGCATCATTCTCTTTTCAAAACTGGCTCTTTTTCAACTATGATGGGGAAATTGACTCAAATCATCAACGCGTTTGCGTGTAGTTTAGCTTGGATTTTTTGTTAATTCTGATGCATCGTGATCTTTTTAATTGTAACAACAATGTTATATGGTCTATAATTCAATATGGTTTATTTGTTTCATAAATAAGGCAATTCATAATTTTAAACACCTAACCTGTGCTACTCCTAGGATATTGTATACATTGCTTCTATCAACTGTTTATGTCGATGTTTAAACCAGTCAATTTTGTTACATCAGTCGGATTACTCATTGAATGATCGTCGTAGTTACCACTTTATGGAATATAATGTGTGAATCTGGGAGGGATGAACGGGGATTCGTTTGTGGTGCTGTTGAAGGTAAGCCGACCGACTATCCATTGTGCTAACTGCGAAACCATAGATCCACCCTGACAATCACCTGTTTAGCTTGCTATCTTTTTTTCCTCACTCTTGCTTAACCAAAAAAAGAGTCAGGCAAAAATACTTGCTGCTAAATATTTAAATAAGGATAAATATTGTTTTATTAGCCTTTTCTTATTCCTTTTCCTTGTAAATTTGAAAATTTTACCTACTGATTGTTTTTGATTTTACTGTCTTCTAGACTCAAGTTCAAGAGATGATTTGGATGCTCTTTTGCCCACATCATCGGACTGCAATAAGATCAAGGCTGCCATTGAACATTATCAAGCTAAAATCATGAGGACCAAAGAAGCAATAAAAGCTGAACAGACCTCGCGAGATGAGAATGTCAATGAGTATCTTAAATTGGCTGCTAATGCTGATAAAGTTCAAACTCAACGTATAAAGAGTATGTTTGAAAAGAAGAATCAGAAATCTGCTCATACGATAGCCCAACTACAAAAGAAATTGGATTCTTATCTAAAAAGGATTCGTGATATTGAAAATTATGGTATTCAAGCTCTACACCAGCATAGTCGATCTAAAGCAATGTTAACTAATGTTGGCCATGGGCTTAAAGGTGTAGGAACTAATATAAAAGAAGGTATTTCTGGTCTTTCGGAAGGTGTCATTGGTAGCATAAAGTCTTTCTCGTCGCCAAACACTCATCATTCCTCGGGTGATAATTTCAATTCAAAACCCAAAGACTCTTTCAAAAATAAAATTGGGAGTGCAGACAATATCAACTCAGCAGATAACTCAATTAATGATAGCTCAACAATGAATGAAAGTGAAAGTAATGAAGGTAAAGAGGCCCAATCCAAGTCATCAGGTGTTCACAATCAAGGTGGCTCAGTATTTTACACTCACAGCCATACACACAGCCATAGTACTAAACATACGTCAGATGAAAGTTCAAGTATATCTTCTGTATCAGATAATATTGGTGCTATAGCCGGTTTAGTTACTTCTGGAGCGTCCTCTGCAAGTCCAGCTAAACAACTTTACCGAACTTTTGACAGCCAACTTGTCAGTCAGAGTGGTTCCTCACATAACATTCACGACCTGGAAACAATACTTTCTCAATTGCGAGATCGTGAAGGTGATTGTCAACGATTAGCCGAGGAAATAGAAGCAGTCAAAACATCACTTCACGCCGAATATAGTTTAATCAATCAAAGTTTACAAGAAGAGAGATACAAATCTGAGGTTAGTGTCACTTAAAATCAAAGGCCAATATAATTTAATCACACAACCCATGTCAATTTTATCAGGAATCTTTGATTCTTCATTTTTGTTGAAAACTATCTAGTTTCGCATCCCTTTCTTACTACACTGTCTCTTTAAAATTGGTTTGTCTTAGTTCATTAAGCTATCTTAATTTACTCTAATCTCAAGTTTGTTTCTTCAATTCTCGGTTTACTTACTAATACGCTATAGTCGGTCATCATGATCGGTTGAATAAACATTGCAATTATATCCTAAACTAATTATAAGATCATGCAAACCTTTCTCACGTCACTTGCTACTGATGATCCAGGAAAAAAATTGATATACACAATTATAGATATTTATTTCAACGCCAGATTCTAATACATTCAACTATTCTTTTCTCTTGATTAACATACCTTGTATACAAGTAATATCATGATGCACTTAATCATCATTTGAATGACGAATGACCTCGCTTTGTCTATGATGATTAAAATATCCAGTTAAACAAGATATCATCATGATTCGAGGTTACTTTCTTTTCTCTTATTTTTCGAGATTGCCGTTCCTTTAAGCGCATTTACGATTAACGAATTGAATAGATTAGAATAAGAGAAGAAAGAATGCTTGAATGAATCACTTGAAATATGAGACTTTCCCTACTGAATCCTGTTTTGTCTTCTAGTTTAATTTACTCCTTTATCCTTATCATCACCAACATCATGATAATTGTTTTGATTCCATTTACTTATCCATCTAATGCTTAAACCTCTTTTTTTGTTTTATTTATTTCTATTTCTTTCCAATGTTTCCATCTAATGTCATCTTTAAACAGCGTCTCGAAGAGCAAATGAATGATCTGATAGAGCTGCATCAAAATGAAATTGAAAACCTCAAGCAAAACATAGGTGATATGGAAGAGAAAGTTCAGTACCAAAGCGAAGAAAGGTTGCGAGACATTTACGAAATGTTGGAAAGCTGTCAAACACGAATATCTCGAATGGAACACCAACAACACCAACATCTCCAACAATTAGTTAATCTTGATTCTTTGGAAAATTCGAATGCTCGTGCACTGGTTCTTAAATTAATTAATGTTCTTTTAACTATACTCCAAGTGGTTCTCTTATTGGTTGCCACTGTAGCTAATATTGTGACACCTTTTCTCAAAACAAGGTACGATTATATTGAAACTGGTATTGCCATTTTAAATGACTCAATTTTCAATCAATCGGGTGAAACTGCTATTTATCGTTTTATGTTAACAGTTTGGTTAGAGTTAATTTTCTTAAACATTAGACAATTATTGCAGTTGACTTTCAGTTATGTTATGCCACAAACTATTAGGCTTGAAGTTAAATTTTACTCAGCTTCACTTAAAACTCCATCATCGTGATATAATCGTATTAACTAATTTTTTCGCTCAGTTTTTAACTCAAAGTATAATTTAAAACACTAATTCGCTAGATTGACTTTTTTGGTGTCAATAAAATTCACTTTACCAAACTGTTATCATTAGCCCGCCTTACATCTACTTGATTATTAATGCTTTCAATTTTTGTTACCGACTCTTTAGGATCCGTTTTTTGACAACAATTTTTATTCTGGTCATCGTAATGATGTTCGTTCGACAAAAAGCTGAATTTGTATTATGGTTTCAAACACGAATCATCAAACGATTTCCGATTATATTGAAATTACTGCCTGAAGAGGTGATTAATGTTGGATAAAAATAATAAGGCAAATTAAAGTCATGATGTTGATGGGACAACAACACATCATCGGTAACTTCATGTAGAACAAAATTCAGCCTGTGCGATCAAATATTTCAAGAAAATGAAACAAGGCAAATCTCAAAGCAATTGACAACTACAAAATAGATTATCATGGAAAGGAGGAAGCTGTACGGATTATCCAAATCTTCATATTCTTCTATTGCAAACAACTTAATCTTTCTTACCTTTCATTTCTCTAATTTTCATCCTTTCTCTTCATTCTTTTTCTACTTTTTCCCTTTTCTTTCTTTATCTGATTGCTGTTCATTAGTCAAAGATTTTTTTTCTATCACCATCAAATGAGGACAAAGCATTCTATGAATCAAAGATTGATGAGCAATTTTTTTCAACAACACACAATATCTGAATGCCTGCTAATATCAACAGTAGTTTAATTTATAATCGACATCATTCTATTCATCAGCTGATTAATGGCTGCCATGATCTATGTAACTAGTTACCAGGAGGTAACAAACAAATGGGTAAATAATAGCTGATCAATTGGAAAGATATTATTACTGGTTTTTGACAAATTGGCATGTTAATGAACGAGGAAAAAAAATGCAACGATATGATCAGATGAAGTTTAAAAACTTCAAATAATGGAAAAATAAAACAGCAACAACTTCGGGTGATGCTCATCTGTTTGCTCCATTCACGGTTCCTTGGATGAGGGACAGCACAACCAAATGCAAAAGATAAAGAGAGACAACAGCAAGTCATCACAAAAAAATGTTTTGACATCATCAGTGTTCCAGAAAAATTATTTATAAATATACTCATCATTGTTTCTCCAACAACTCTTTTTTTTGGACAAAAAAGTTAGATTTCTTCTAAACAAAAGAACTCCATGTTCTCGTACCTGTAAAATTGTGACTCAAGAGTCATCAGCATTTTGGGATAAACTGTGATAGATGATCTCTCCGATACTTATATGCTCTCATCCTCTACTTCTTTACTCTACACACTCATCTTTATCATTATCCTCTTTCATGTTCCCTTCCTTTGCCTACTTTCAATTTCTCCCCTTTTTCAACAGATTCAACATCGCATACCTCTTTTTATATACACAACATACACGAATAATCTCTATACAATCACGTTTATATTCTCACCTTGTCAACCTTTCTCTCAACTTGTTACACTACGCATAACTCACACATGCATTTTGGATCATTTTTCTCGCCATTGTCTTTCCATCCAGTCCTCAATTCATAATCGTACTCCCATAAGTCGAGTCTTGGTTGAATGAAAATTTTGGAAATGTTTTACCAATGGCAATTGGGACAAAAACGAATTGATCAAAGTGTGGAAAGTAAAAACGCCAAACCTGATTTTATGGTTTCTAATGAAAATTTTTCAGCCTTTAATACGATTACAATCGAAAGGAAGATCTGATGAAAAGCATTTGCAATGGTTTGAAACCATGATGATCTACTCAGGGCGATGAAGAAAAGAAATACAAATGATAAATTGAAAGAACAAAGATAGAGACATGTAAAAGGAAGACAGAGGAAACACCTTACATCAAAGCTACCACCATCAGATATCAACAAGTAATTCCGCTGAAATTTGAATAAACTCTTTTCTATAAATCAAGTATCAATTGGGAAAATTTAAGGAAAATGATCTACTCTGACAGTTACAGTGGATAATTCAAAGGATAATGCCCTTTATTTGTTGGCATTTTTTTCCTTTCTGTGTTCACCAAACATTTCCTTGTAAACATTAGCTTAGTTGCTTGGTTGCAGTTGATTCAACATAATGCTGATGATGATAATCGTGAATTGTGATTGATCAAGAATCACATGCAACTCATATACGAACACTACAAAGAATTAGGGTAACAATCACTAGATTATGATGATGATGATGATGATGGATTTCATTAATTTCCTTGTTTCATATGATGACTTTGATGCATATCTAATCAAATCGATGTGTAAACAACGGTTATTATTTGCATCTAGACAATCACAAACAACCAGTAGCCACAATCACAGGAATTAAGGACTATTGGATCTCTCATCGCTTGGAATAATTCTGATTCAATTGCTTATATTTTCCCTCTTAGCTGCTTCTTTTTACCTAGTCAATTTTTGATTACTTTTCCTACTCCTTATTTTGCTGTCTTACAGACTGCTTATTGATTATTATTATTATTTTATCCAGATGAATCATTTCCAATGTTGAAAAGAAAATGGAAAGCTAAGATTGAAAAATTTACAGCCATCAAGACAACAAACATAATCATGGTATAACCTTAATAGTTGGATCATCTTAATTCAAGTAAATTATTACGCGATGGCAAAAGAATCAACCATTATTTTTATATCACTCGCCTTTAAATTTGCTGATGACAACTATTAATATCATAATCATCACCATTAATATCTTTCCAGGCAAGATTCATAGTACTTTCCGTTTTCATGATAATGATTTTATTTAATTACAATCAGTTGAACACCTATCGGAAATCCTACCGTTTTATTTCCATAATTGTCCTGATGGAAAGCAAAAAACAACAAATAACATAATTATATTATTATTATCCATCTCATCATCTTTGTAAATCATTATTTATACTTATCATGATTATCTCACATATTTTTGTTTGATTTGATAATCAATTACCATTTTAACCATTAGCATTTCAAGTAAATGGTTAATGTTAATGAATTGAGACAAGGTAAACAAGTAAAAACGGATTGCGACCCAAAACTTTTCTAATGCTTTATTTCATTCCAATGTTTTTCAATTAAAAGTCAACTGCACAATTAATATCTGATAAAACCTTTAATCAACATTAGTATTTACCAATTTTAACACCAATCTCAACAGAAAAAGAAAGGCTTTGAATTGTTAAACCGCTAAAATTTATTGTAAGAATCAACTTACAGTCATCACTCAAACTTTTTATTTACCAAATATAAATTATTATATAATCATGATGATTTGACGATAAAAACTCTTTCAAATATCGAGTTAACTAATTTATGAACAAAGCATTGACGCGTAAATCAGATCAATGAAATCATAATCAACTTGACTTTTATTTATTCATAGGATTCACAAAATATCAAACCTAATTTGGCTTGAATTTAAAATAGTTTATCTTATCGTCTACAATTAATGAACTTTGCCCATCCTGACGTGAAAAGTGTTTCATTCATGTGAAATTTCCAGACAACTCACCGTCAACACGTCAACGAATTCATTTTTTCAATTCAATTTCGCGTATTTGGAATATGTGTGAAAAATTACACTATTTCGTTGTATTAAAACACGAAAATCGTAATGATGATCAATAATCATCCTGGCTTTCTATTGAGAATTTTCGTTAATTTAAAATTGAATACTTTTATCCAAGAATTTTTCTGAATAATGGTTGAAAAGATCCAATAGGGATGAATTTCCTCTTTTGCATTTTGAACAGCCCAGTCACCCAGTGTTTTTGTAATAGGTGTGTAGTCACCGTAATTTCAGTTTCAGTGAAGAATTTTTCCTCATTCACAAAACATGCAGGAGGGATAATTGCAATAAAATTTTGAATCTTCTTGCTTGATGCTTGAGATAGCATCTTTAAATTGTCGATAAGTAACATTTTTTGCGACCCAATTCAGGAATTACAAACTTCTCATTTTTCGCATTGTGATAACAGGATACGGCAATCCTGCGAAAAAGAGAAAAAGGTTAGTTCGAAAAGTTTATCTTTGTAAAGGGTGTAAAGAAAGTTTTGGCAAGTAAGCTCAGCCCACTTCATTGCGCAGAGATCCTTTTTGGTTTGTCTATGTGAGTCAAAACATTATTTTCACAAAAAAGCGCTCTCTCATACGCAACATTTGAGTCTCGCCTCCGCGAGTTGATTCCACCTCTGACATTAAATAACTTGCTAACCTTTATCAAGTGGAACTGTTGAATAAGGTTCATTCATTCCTTACATAGTCGTAAAGGTTTGTGTTAGTTTCAATGTTAATCAAGAGAAACTCACATATTACTATTCCTATTCAATCTAATTTCACCTTTTATTCCCTAAATACCTTTCTTTTCAAGCAACCTTCGCGCACAGGTAGATTTGGCATGTAAGCTTCTCATTGATCTGTTGACTGGGGCTAGACTCATCGCAAATCTTTGAGGAGCGCCAGTGGTTGGACTGATCAACAAACTGCGTTGCCTTTAAACTCTACTATGTGAACCTAAAGAAGAGTGTGGTCTTTTCCTGGCTTGCCTCACTTCTGCCGTCGTGTCGATTTTCTCTGTCCTCTGATAGCCAATGTGCCAACGAGCCTCTTTTTTTTAAGCATAATACACTTCGATTTTCGGATCTTTATGGAGTGTGAGAAAGCAAAAAGCATGCATTTCAGAATCCGATCTCCGTGGCAGTATGTGGTGTAAAGTCTAGGAAGAGAAAATAAATTCATTCAAAATCCAAATGGAGATGATATAAGAGAACCCTGTACACAAACTTGTCGATGTCACGCAAGCCAATCCTTATTAGAACTATAAATGTAAACTTACTTTTTCATCTGCTTAATTTCCTTGGAAAATTCCTTGGAACGCTGAAAGAAGAATGAAGTGATATGCAAAAGTTTTGTTAAAAGGGAAATAACTAGACTGAACTAATTGTTCTGACTGTAAATTCTAAGTCGTGCTCAGAAAGAGAAAAATTGATAGAAAAGATTTAATGATTTTAATCGTGTTTTCATTGCAAAACGTATCTTTTACTTGATGTGTTTTTGTGTCTTTCACTGATCACATAGCCATACAAGTAAAAATATAGATGAATGAGTGTGTTTCGCAAGAAAGTCTGTATTTTTACTGGGGTTTTGTGTCTTTCACTGATCACATAGCATACAAGTAAAAATATAGATGAATGAGTGTGTTTCGCACGAAAGTCTGTATTTTCACTGGGGTTTTGTGTCTTTCACTGATCACATAGCATACAAGTAAAAATATGGATAAATGCGTGTATTTCAGATATTCGAATACAAGTATTCGAATATCTGAAATACTCGAGTAATATTCTATTCGAATTAAAAATATTCGAGTAATTGAGTATTCGAATACTCACTATCAGCTCTAAGCAGGATACGGCAATCCTGCGAAAGGTAGAAAAAGGTTAGGTTATTTCGAAAAGTTTATCTTATTATACATGTATTATCCCATCCATGTGTGATGTTGAATAAATAATAAGTGATATCATGGCAACCGTTTTTTCATGTCATATATTTAAGCTAACAAGTGCATAAAAATTGAAAAAAAAATTCGTTCTAATTGTTATTACAAAAAATATCAATAAAAATAAGTTATAATTTGCTGGCCTAACAGTTCAATAGTAGAAGAAAAGGTTCCCATTATTTCTCATCAGGATGTAAAAGAAATCAAATTTGAAACGCTTTTCCTGTTGATTCCACCTCTGACATTAAATATCTTGCTAACGTTTATCAAGTGGAACTGTTGAATAAGGCTCATTCATTGCTTACATAGTCGTAAAGGTTTGTGTTAATAGTCAATGTTAATCAAGAGAAACTCACATATTACTATTCCTATTCAATCTAATTTCACCTTTTATTCCCTAAATACCTTTCTTTTCAAACAACCTCAGCGGAGACCAGATTTACATGTGATGTTCGCATTGATATGTGAACTGGAGCTAGACTCATCGCAAATCTTTGAGGAGACCAGTCGTTGGACTAGTTGATATAATTCGCCGCCCTTAAACTCTACTGTGTGCAGCTAACGAAAAGTGGAGTCTTTTCCTAGCTCGCTACACTATCACCCGCGTGTCGCTTTTCTTTTCGAAAGTCTCTACAACTGTGTCTGATCACGCAGCCATAAAAGTAATAATATGAATATACACGTGTTATGTGAGATATGTTCTCTGCCAGTTACTGTGCATTTGTGTTTCGCGCTAATCCCTTAACCATTGAACTAAATATATGGATAAACGCAACATGCTATTCGCGAGAAACTCTTTTCAACGGAATTGTTTTTTTGTGTCTTTCACTGATCACTTAACTATACAAGTAATGCTTTGGATATAGACGTGTTATGTGCGATAAAGTCTCTGCTATGTTACTGTGTTTTTGTGTCTCGCACTAATCCCTCAACCAATCAAGTGCATATATTGATAAAGCCGTGTTACTCGCAAGAAATTCTTGTGTCTTCAACTGATCACTCACCTACAGGGTGTAGCTAAAGTTCGTGTAGGAGGCAGAAAAATATTTTCATCTGCGTAGAAACCAATTTTAATTTTCTTTTATTTCTCAATCAAGAAACTGATTTCATCTCTTAAGCCCTCCTACCTACACGAACTTTCGCTACACCCTGTATATAAGTAATCCTATGGACATACGCGTGTTATTTGCGATGACGTCTCTGCCACGTTACTGTGTTTTTGTGCCTTTCACTGATCACTTAACCACAAAAGTAAATATATGGATGATTGTGTGTTTTCTGGGTGAAAGCACACGTGCAACTAAACGTGCAAAGAAACTTGCAACTCCTATCCCATACAAGTAATAATATGGAAATAGTATGTTGCTTGCAATATAGTCTATACAACGTTACTGTGTTTTTGAGACTTTCACTGATCACTTACCAATACAAATAATAATATGGATCAATTTGTGTTTTCCGGGTGAAAATCTCACCAAATTTTTTGGTTTTTTGCGTATTGCGCACTCCCTAAACCATATAACAAAAATATGAATAAACGAGCGATGCCACCGCAAAAGTCTCTGCAACTTTTGTATGTTTTTGTGTCTTTCGCTGATCACTTAACCATACAAGCAAAAATGTGGATAATCGCATGATTTCCGCACAAAAGTTTCTGCATGTTTACTGTGTTTCTGTGTCTTTCACTGTTCCTTTAACCATACATGTATTAATATGGATAACCGCGGTTTTCCCACCCAGAAGACGTTGTATGTTTACTGTGTTTTTGTGTCTTTCACTGATTACTCAACTGTGTAAGTAAAAATATGGATAACCGCGGTTTTCCCACCCAAAGACTCTGTATTATTACTGTTTTTTGTGTCTTTCACTGTTCCCTTAACTACTCAAGTAAAAAATGGATAACCGCGGGTTTTCCGCGCAAAAGACTCTGCATGTTTACTGTGTTTTTGTGTCTTCAACTGGTCCCCTAAAAATATGGATAAATGCGTGTCAACCACTTTTCTTAATGTGTGTCTCACCATTGCGGTAATGTAGGTCCAATGTACGAAGAATATTATTCTAAAATTCCCATGGCAGCAAACAAGTGTGGCTGCTATTTGTTGGTTCCTGCAGGAAATTATAGAGATGGTCAGAAGCTAATACATTGTACCCAATTTCTACAACAGTTAAGCTCTCATGACTTCGCAAATTAACCCGGAGAAATAAAATTTTTAATGGCTCAATAACCGCTTGTACCCTTGGAGATTCGTACTATTATAAAAACAAAACCTTGAAACGTGAATCAAGCGATTTAAAAATTTCCATGTAGTTGTTTATGGTAACATTATTTTTACGTTGCAGATGATAAAAAACTCATTGTTAAATGCCCGAAATCATGCAATCAATCTGCATCACTGTGTTTTCTTTTTTTGAATTTATAGCAGCCATTACACTACAGAGTGGATAGAAAGTTTCTGGTGTGAGGGCGGAGATGAAAATGCGTAAGAAAAGGACGCTAAAACTGTACTAATGTTAGCAAGTCAACAATAAAATTATGTCTGATGCGCAGATAAAAGGCGTCTGTCCTCACAACAGAAACTTTCTATCCACTCTGTAGTAGTCAGGGTCTAGTTGAGAAAATCTGAGTTCAACCAATAGTCGCCATCTAACAAGAAATACTAGTAAAAGTACCTTTAAGATCGAATTTATTTTTTAGATTTTTATTGTTCAGTGTCTCTCAAAACTGTAAATGCTGGCGACACCTTAAAATTAACTTAACCCTGACTACTAGTGTAATTGTGAATGTATCGATTTGTCCAGACATTTCGACGAATTATGCATCAGAATTGTTTCAAATGATGTAAAACCCTTGGAACATTTAGGACATGCAAGAAAGGACGAAAGCTTGGAAGCTTCATCTAAAACATCTAGAGTCATCGGATTTTCACCAGTAAATCATTTCAAAGGTTTAAGGAAACGCCAGAAAAACAATATACACTCAAACCTCTCATAATGAGACTCTCTGTGAATAGCTTTTAGGCTTATTCCCACAGAAGCTATTTGAACGAATGATTTTTATATCGACTATGGTACATATTTAATCCGGTTTCATTTTTATTTAACCAATAATGATTCAATCATCATCAAAAAACATGTTTAACTAATTATAAACAATATTATTGCATTAGAAACGGCATAGATGATATAAAAAATCATAGCGCTACTTGATTATAAAGTCCATAGATGACTCTGATCAGAAATTGTCTCATTATCGGAGGGTCTCATTATGAGAGGTTTGAGTGTAGCATAATTTTCGAGTAAATTATAGTTCATGATTCTCATGACTTTATTGGCGAAATCGGAAGAACCAATCTTTTGCATTTGATAACTTTAAATGATTAAATAAAACAGTTCAAATTGTTGAATTTAAATTATTTAATTGATTTTACAGAAATAAACATTATGAAATAGAAGTATAAGATTATCTGACAACGAAGTGATTTTAAAAGCTAACTTGTCTCTTCATAACAGGTCAAATTTGATCAACTATCATGATCGGCAATAGTACATACATTTAGCATGTAAAAATGCTTGTATAACCAGAAGCTTACAATCAGCAGTTTTTTAGATTGTGTTTTACAATTATATATATTTATGTATTATTATAACAGTAAATGAATGTGATTAAATTAAAATTAGCTGGCTGTAGTTTTGGTGACATTATAAATGAATCAATAGTAATAATAAGAGCAGTAATAAGATGAGTTACAATAATAATGAGATCATTATAAAAAGAGAGATTTTTGAATAGTATTGAGAGGTTAGATGTGAAAAGTGACTCTTAATTTCAATGGTGATTCAATAAAAATGTTATCATTGTTATATAAAATGCTGTAATTTGTTTCTTTGTTTTGTTTTTTATATCAATTTCAATTACAATCAGGCAAGTGATTATCACTCTTTTGATGCTCTCCAGGTTTTTAACCATTTCCAGGATAAACGAGATAAACGATTAAATGATAGGCCACTGAAATGATTATCATTTTCTCCTAAACTGGTAAAATTGAAACCTTCGGTAGCTGGTTCAGATCCATGACGGTTTCTGAATGATTTTGTTTCAACTGATAGCGAAGCTCGCTTTTTATCATCAGTTTTACATGGACTTTCATTTACCATTGAATTTAACGTTCGAGGTTCAGTAAGATGAACCGATGTTGGGTTGATGTTAGGCATAATGACAGAATCTGTGCGACACAAATAATTGGAATGGTGAGATTCATGTGACCCCTCGCGAGGTCCAGTTAACTCGACAATGTTTTCATTGTTTTCACATGAGACCAAGACTCCAGCACTGCCAGTGATTTCTCCACCACTTTCAGGTTCAGGGATTGAAGATTCACGAGAAACTCGAGAGAGGCGATTAAGTTTTCTTAATGATCCAGTTGCTGCTCGTTTTAAACGGTTAAAAGTTTTGGATGATTTAGTACTTAAATCTGGACTTGATTTGGCATCAGCTTTGGAAGACGAGGAAGCAATCAAGCTAACGTCGTCTGCTTTGGCTAAACGAAACAACCCTTTACCCTTCCAAGCGGCTTGAGCACGGTAAACATTTTCAGTGTCATGTAAGACTCGACGGAAAACAGTTATGGGTGACTCTTTTGCTTTACTTTTACCACTACCGCTGGTCAAGTTTACTTCGCCTTCAACCTCAATCTCTTCGACTAGAAGGAAATTACGAGGATTCTCTTTGCGCCTCGCTTTGATCAAAGCTTGACCAATTATATCCTGAGCTGTACCAGTGATTGGCGCCTTAAGAATAGCATAAGGTTGATCTTCTGAAACATTGTAAACACAAACGAGAAAGTAATCAATCTCTTCACCCCAGGATCCACTCAGCTCTTCCGAATCTTGACGACGCAGACGCTCCATTTGAGCTTTAATGGTGTTAAACCAGGCTCTTGAACTGGGATCGTTGGCAATCTTTTTTATCACAAACCTTCCACGACCATTCCAATGAGATTGAGCTTCCAAGGGACGTTCTGATGGGTCCAATATACGTTGATTGGTGGTAGACGAACGATCAAGGAAAGGTCCTTTCTTGTCCCAACCTTTAGCTACTTCTTCGATAAGAACATAATCAGATACCGCTTCATTGGATTTGTTGGCTTTGGTCAGGGCTTGGGCAATAACTTCACTAGTTGTTGATTCCTGTGTTATTTTAAGAATGGTTGATGGTTCTTCAGGCATGACTCCATGAACAACAAGGAAAAACATGCGGCGGCGAACAGGCATTGAGGTTAAACCTAAGCTTGGAGTTTCACATGGTGCATTTCCATCGACTCGATCAAAACCTTCATTACAACCAATGGATGTGGTTTTGGTCAAATTTGTGGTATAAGAGGATGTTTTACAAGGAGTACTTCGGGAAGGATCAAAATCACCTAAATTAAATGCAGATGTAGTCGAGCCAATTTCAACGCCCTCTTCTTGAGATGATGAGTTAATGAATAATGTGGACAGTGGAAGGGGTTGATTTTGTGGACTTTGAAGTCGTAAATGACGGTAACCAGGTTTTAAAGATTTAACAGGAACAACTCGATGAGATGCAAGATGATTAGTTCCCAAATCAATCACAGCAAAGCGGATAAACGCGAGATCAGTAAATACAATCTGAATAAGTAAATTTTTTGAATTAAATTCAGATTAGTTATTTAAATTTAAGTTGACTATTGATATTAATAAACATGGCTTTCACAAATATAGCTAGATTTAGTATAAATACTTACTCTAAATACAAATGTATTGTTCCAAATAGGATTCAATGAGTTTCTTTGAACCAGTTTGGTTCGTTGTTTGGCACAATCAACTGGTAATCCAATAATTTCAACTTCAACTTGTGGACTTCCGTTATTAACATCGGGACAAACATATTGACCAGATATTATCTGAATTTGAAAAGATTGTTAAAATTAATTTCAGCAACTTCATAGTTTGACTGATTAATGCATCTGAATAACATATCACAAACAAATAAAAAGGTCTAAATCTAACCTGAATCGTTAAATCAATAGCATAAAGACCATCAAACTCTTTCTCCCAAGGATTAAACCGATCAAAGGCCATATGATTTCGATCCCTCATGACAGACGGCTTTAAAACATAACCAGTTCGACCATTTTGTTCAAACATTGCCTTATAAATTGCAAGTGCAGTATCTTCAGTTTGATAGTTGAGAGCAACCATTTGAATACCAAAAGCCCAAAATATAACGGGATTGAAATTTGATGAATCAATTCTCATTCCAGCTGGATAGCTACGCATTAATTGGTATTCAGTGTGATGAATTAAAGTTAATGGATGCTTTCTGCACAATTTTTTGGCTGTGTGTTCATTCAGCGAGGCAACCTGATAACATGCTTTGGGTGAATAAGGCTGTCTATGTGCATTATAACCAGAGTTTGAAGATGTACATGTTGAGGCAATTGTCGTTGAACAGTTGGCAGAAGCGGTTGTTGATGTTCCTAATCCAGATGAAGGTGGCGGTCCGTATGAAGCGGCTGTCAAAGCATTATTACTTGTACTTGTTGTTGCCTGATTAACGGGTGAAGTGGCTGATAGAGATGGCGAGGTTGTTGATAGAGGAAGATTGATTGTGTAAGTTGATAAGGATTCTGGACCTGTCGAGCTAGTTGCTGTTAAAGAGGGTGAGGCAATATGAGATGCTGATGGCGATCCTGAGAAGCCAGAAGAAATTCCAGTAGATAATATATTTGTCTTTTTGCTGGTCCCTTTTTTACTCGAAGCCTCTTTCAATGTAGAGGTTGGACTAGAATTACCCGTATCAGTTGAAAATCCGCGAAATTTGATGGCCTGACAGTAGATGACTAGATCAGATAGTTCAGGAGCAACCTGACTGTCAGATTTACGAACAGCTTTATGGCCAGAGGTTGAAGAACAAGAGGAAACTTTATTGACAACCATTGAAGATGTATTCAATGAGGTAACCTCCGGTTGACCAGAAATATTGCAAGTTGGTGCTGAGGTACTCAAGTTGTCAAGATTTTCACTCTGTTCCGAATATCGATTGGCTAAAATAGATCGATTGGAAAATTTAGCTTCATTTGATGAGCCTCCACCTTCCTGAGAAGAAGACGATTCCGTTCTTAGAGCAACTCCTTTTGGAGAGGGAACATAAGTTGACCCAGTGACTGATTCTAATCCCACATTGGTAACATTACCACCAGCTGGACCATTTGTTGGAGCCGAATTTCCTCCTCCTCCACTTGCACTGGCATCATCATCATCATCTTCATCATCGTAATCATCTTCATCTTCATTCAGAGATCCAGTTGATGCTGTTGAAATAAGGCTATTTGTGCGAAACATGAACTTGGATCTTGAAAATGGTTTAGTTTTCACACTTGATGGGGCAACTGATGGAGGTATTGAACTTGTAGCACTTTTGAGTTTCTTGTTTTTTATCAAAATACGACCTCGAAGTTGATTAGGTGAGGGAAGATGAGGTTCATCGGAAAAATCGGATTCAAAGAGAAAACGGGTAATCAATTTGTCACCAAAAACTTCAACAAAAGTGGCTGCCATGATTACCTGTTGAGGCAAGGAGCAATGATTTTCCAAGGAAAGTATCACAGGAAATGATGAGGTTACAAAGGCAGATTCATTTATAGCTTCAACAACTTTTCGGAATGGAATTTTAGATGTCAATGTATGCCCATGATAAATCACTGGAGATCCATTTTCACCATCATAACAGTCAAGTTCAACGCATCGACAACCAGTTAGTAAAACTTGTGAGTAAAGATCAACTGACGATTCGCCTTTCAACTGATGACCAGTCAAGTAGGTATTATGAGAGGTAGCAATGTAATAATGAGAAAGAGGTTCATCCATATCATCTGGATCATAAGTTGACAGCTCGGGTGTAAAAGCATAATTAATTTTATCCATCAGGTAACAAGCAAAACCTTCAAACGAAAGACAATTTTTGGCCCGTAAACTTGAATCTGGTTCGTGTCGAGCAATGAGACGTTTAACCTCGTCAAAGGGTCGATTCTCATTCTGATATGTTCGTAAAAAACTTTGAAAATCTTCAATGGTCATTAAAAGTGTTCTCATTGTATCCACACCAGCACAATTAGCGACAATGGAAGCTGAAGCAATGGCGTCATAAATTTTGCTCCGTTGAACATCGTCCAATTCATTGTCAAAAGGGGTAAAATTACGGGTTAACAATCCAATGATTCGTTTACTGTAACCATCAGTTTGCCTTTCCAAGTTGATTGGATCTTCTGTTTCCTCAACAGCCGAGTGAATGTCCGTTTTAGAGGCCAAATCTTCAAAAATGTCTTTAATATCCTTTCTTGATCGAATCAAGAATGCTCTGTATAATTGCATAAATTCAATAAAATTCATTTTCGAGGAATGAGTTATGGAAGGTTTACATTTAATGGTTGAAGTTGAAGATGATGAAGACGGAGGCGAAGAAGAAGTTATAGGAACACCTGATGAAGAGGTTAAATTGGCATCAGCAGTTGTAACAGAGTTGGATGAAGTAAGTGTAACGGTTGCGGAGGTTGCTGCAGATGAAGAGGTAGGTACATCATCGTCGATATCATTAGTCCGAAGTGATCCATTCTCATAGCAAAGCGATTGCGGCGATCCATCCAAAATTGACTTTTCTCGAGTTAAAAGTTTTTTTAATCTTCTGTGATATGAGACTGTGGTTGATGAAAGAGTTCCAGTTGGTGATTCCCCAATCAACTGTGAATCAGGTGTTTCTTTTAAATTTTCATTGGATGATGACGATTTAATGCTTCTGGTCGGACTAACGGATCCAGGTCGACTTGCTCGTGGCTTGTTACCATCGGTTTTAGGTGAAGCTGAACCTTTCTTTGAAGACAATGTAATTGCTCTTTTAATTGGTGTCGACAGGGTTGAAGATGGTTGATTGCTGCTCTCATAGATGGAGCTACGAGATTTGATAGGGATAACATCATCCAATTTTGATTTGCTTCGAGTAAGTACTTTAACCAGTTTACCGGTTCGCATAAATGGATTTTTACCTTCCGAAGATGTACCCTTGAATTTTCCACTTCCTGGTGAACCACTAGTACCACTCATAAAGCTACCGGAACCATCTGAGGTAACAGAAGATTGAGATCTTAAACTGGCATTACGAACCATTGAAGTCAAGCTTGGAGATGAACCATTCTTCTTCTTACGAAGTTTGGACGATGCAATACCAAAAGCGGAAGATCGTTTACTTTGACCTGATTCACTGGTTGATCCACCGACGGAAGAACCACCAACTGTTTCCAAAGCCCATTTGCGACCTCCAAAAGCTTTGATGGCTTCTGCTGGAGTGGGACCAACACAGGCGCCATTGGAGTAAAACAATTGCAGGTATTTACCCTTTAACCAGGTTACCCTTTGATCTGCTAAAGTTCGTTGAATTTCAAGTTGACCAATTAGCTGGCGTAAACCTTCGGACCAAAGGGAGGCAACCATTTTGGGCATAATAAATTGTAAAAAACGATTGTCCGAAAGATTGGCTCCATAAAGTAAACTGAAAAAACAATTGCCATCTAAAAGGGATGGTTTAAGGCCAAATCGACGGCAAACGGAGGATTGATCAATTGCAGATTGTCCAGTGAATAATTTTTTAACGAACAAAAGGTCAATATAACCTTCCTCCAGGCCATTGTAAGCAGGTTCTTTGGATTCAAATTTAACAAAAATACTGGGCACAACCATTTTGTGTATATCACAGGAAGGATTGGTATCACTTGAAGCATTGGATTGATGATAAGTGGATGTTAACAATGAAGATGAAGATGTAATTTGATTTGATGAAAATACAGTTGATGATGGTGAGGATGAAGATGATGATCCAGACGTTGTATATGATGTCGGTTTACCCAATGGTACATTGTTAGCAGGCCAAGGAGGTTTACACCAAGCCAAAAGTCCATTTGATTTTTCCAATTGAAGGTAAACACAACAAGATTTACCAGTTTCCTCTTCATAATGGATTACCGTTGTACCTCGATGCATACATTGTAATACACTTGGATCTATCCTGTTGATGGTTTCATTAATTGGCACAAAGCTGACCCCATGATCAGGTTGATAAGAGGACGGGGTACCAGGACAAGGTCCACTAGTATTAAAATAAGTGGAAGGATCGGCGTTTATCTCATAGAAGCAATCATCTTCTCGATGTTTCCTCCTAAAATCTTCATTTGGATGGTAAGTAGATGTAATAGTTAACTCTTTATTTGTCCCACTAACCCAAACATTACCCTTGTTATTACTGCTATTATTATTATTTAGGTTATTACTATTATTTAGATTATTATTGGTACTAATTGAATTATTGTTATTATTACTGACTACATTGGCATTATAGTTGAAATTATTACTATTATTGTTATTCCTAATTCTGGCACTTCTGTTTACATTATTTCCAGATTCATTTGTCGGACAAACGTCACTAGAATCCAGTAAATTGGCTTTGACTCTTTCAAACTCTACTCTATCATTGCTGCTCTCACCACCACTACTGCCCACTCCACCGCCACCACCACCACCACTGTCCAAGTCCTTTATTTTACCATTTTTACGTTTACCATTATTTTTTGACGGAGAAGCTGAATGATCTTTACAAAGGGCAAATGCGCTTGAAATTGTTGATATTACGATTGGTGTTTCGATAGCAGCTGTTGCTGTGGTTGATGCTGATGGTACAACTGAACTTGCTGGTTTCTCTATTGCTTCTGATTCTGGATTTTCTCGTGTAGCAGCCATCAATCAAAACATTACAGTTTTTGATATAAAGCTGATTGATGTTACATTAATAATGTTCACCAATCATTTGCATATCAAAAATTCTCACCATTTCTTATAAATCTATTTCAAAGCCAATGGACATGATAATCGTCACCATCAATAGTTTGCTCCTGTTTTGCACAATTTCAATCCAAAAAGAGCTCTTTAATTCCATTTTCAACTTCAATTGATGTCAGCAAATAGTTAATCAATCAATCTATTATCGATTGGACCAGATAATCTGAAGAGAATCAGAAAGAGAAGGAAAAATTGATTATAAAAGCAAAATTCATGTTCCATAACTTATAAAGGATGAAAAATAAAGAACAGCGATAAATGTCAACATAACCAGATAATGAGATACTTTGAAAATTTTTAATTTCCTCAGTTAAATATTGATTCGTGTGCAGCTATAGCTTCAATAATTGGCTCTTTGACCAAAAATGTGTACATTTACTGTCAATTTGCACGAAATCAAAAGATTCAAAATAATTGTGCAAAAACGTTTATTGCGCTTTTCCAATGTAAAACTATCCATTTAGTTTCATTTTTCATCAAATTTAAGCTCAGAGAGAAATTTCAACCCACGAAAACTCAAAATTATTCACAATTACTAAACATTTGAATGAATTTTAGATTAATTTTACAACTCACTTTAATCAACATTCAACATTGGACAGGTTCAACCTTTCCAAATAGATTTGCATTTAGCAAAATTAAATCATGAAAAATAATCCATTTCAAAGAGTCGTATTCACGATTGAATTTCACCAGATTTGTGAGTTTTGTTAGTAAAATTGATGGAATTGACTTTTCAAGTCTCCATCTTTACCTAACCTTTTAAACCCATTCAATAAACAATTGTCTGTCAGAGCAACAGCAATCCATTATAAAGCCATTCATCAGGTGTGTAAAACTACAGAATTTTTTTTCTCCTTTTTTCCATTTTCTTGATTCGTTTACCTTTTTTTATTCCATCTCATGATGATAAAACTTTTTTTTATACATTTCAAGATTCATGATAACTTTCCATTTTTAGCTCATGTGTCTACTTGAAATTGTCAACGTGAACTAAAAGCATGCAATAATACACAAACAAACACACACGAAGACAACTGTTTTTAACAAAGATATCAATTGAACTGGGAATTACGTTCCCTATCAACTTGTCTTGTTGACTGAAATAAACAAAAATGGCTTCATCAGTAGCAACAAAGGTAAAAGGCAAAACAAACCCTTTGTTATTTGTATTTACAAATTGTAATACTTTTACTTTTATCAGATCAAAGGAACCCAAAAATACAAAAAAAACACTAACATTGATTTTTATTTTCCTTTTTTTCCCTTTCATCTCAGGTCAAGCTCAAAACAAAACAAGAATAAAACCCAAATTAAATCCATTATTTAACGATGAATGAAAAATATGAAGCAAAATCTAATAATAGCGAAACGAATGTCCAGCAAAACCAAACAATCAAGTTGACCATACAAACTGTCCAAAGCAACCTTGTTCAAGATAAAAGGTTTTTCCTGCAAAACTAAAGCTTAAGATTTTACATTCAAATTGTGAATCAACTTGTAAACCAAATTGTCCAGACAACTTGAACTACTTTCAACATCAGGAACAATTTTCTGATTAGTTGATTGGAAAATTAAATTGTTTTGTTTCACACAAATTGATGTAATTTGAAAGTTGATCATTTTGAGCTTCATTTGACTCAAGTCTTGAAATTATTGTAAATTACCGTTAATACATTTGGTTAAGAAGGGCTTACATTGATGTTAATGGTGATTTGTTAGTTTGAACATAATAAAGGGAAAATGTTGATTTGTTGATTGTTATACCATCAGTTGTAATGTTATAAGACTCATTTATCAAGCTAATAAGGGCAAGTTGAACTGAATAACTCTGTGAGCTGATGATATTAATCATTTAATGCACATTTGGAAACGATTTAACAACAGTTATTAGGCAGAAATACATAAATAAATAATAGATAACATTGGAGTGTTATCACAAGATGAACACAAATACAGACCAATAACACCTTGAACAAACAGATAGATGGAGTTATAAATGTACAATTATTATTGCTCATATTACCGCATAGCATTGAAATTGTATCATGAATAATGTTGACAATAAAGTAGATGATAATGTTGATAATACACAATGTGAATACGCTCATTGAAACTGTTTTCATCAATATCTTTTCATGTTGAATGCGCGTCAACAGCAACAAGCCAAGGTTTGATCAATGAAAATGAATACAAAAAAAAGGCAACTTTAATGGAAACAGAAGGCAAAAAAGCAACTCGAGTAATAGTTAGTTAACAGTCCTTAATAGTATTTATTTGGATGATTAGAGGTTTAAGTGTTAACTCTAATGACGATAATTTAAGGAGTAATGCAAATTATTGATTAATTGTTTCCAATGTTACTGTTAAATGATTGGTAAAAGGTTATTCCAGTATGTTGCTTTCAATCTCAATCCTTTTCCTTTCTTCCAAAGGAGGAAGACCAAAGGAAGACTGGAAACACTGAGAATGATCTTGATGATGATGATGATGATGATAATTTACTTAAGGCTAATGGTAACCCTAATTGGCTCATTCAAACTAATGATACAAATGGGTAAACTGGCGGAATATTTCATCTTCAACTAACTGATTCCTTCTGAATATCGATCTTTATCTTCAATGGAACTTGTTTCTCTGAATAAACAATAAATTGCCAAATGCACACAACAGTACAGGATGGCTAAACTGGAGCCACAAAATTTGGGTCATTTGGTCTGTTGTCCTTTCAATAGCCTTTGTTCAAATTCACTGAACACAACAACTTAAACCAATTTGTAATATCCAACATTAATTATCGTCTCTTGTTTTTTTTCACTTCCATTGTACTTTCATTGTATTTTACAAATTGACTGAAAGTTGAACACTTTGATAGCTAAAATGAATCAATCAAAATCAATACTCTAATTGAAAATTTGATCACAACTTTACCATGAACAAGTTTCACCAAAAGAAAGTCAAATTGATTTGTGACTCAATGTAACCAAATTCAATGCAAAGAAAATGCTGAATCTAAATTTTAATGAACTTTCATAGCATCTTTCAATATCCATAATCTATTATCTCTACGACTTCAATATTCATATTCACTTGCAAAACATGAACTTCTCTGAGTTTTCCTGAAATTCATTATTCGTTTTCAAATTTCCATCTTTTATTCTTCTTCTAAGGAATAAAAAATTATCAATATTTTCTCAATTTTCCTTCTTTTTTTCCCCTGAAATGAATCAACTTTTTTATTCACTTTTTTCCACAACTTGATAACAGTCAAATGATTTTTTTCCTTCACTAAACCGATTGGGACAAAATGAATAGCAAAACCTCAGAAATCAAAATATGATAATAATCAGGGAATCAGGGAATGAAAAAGTAAACTCTAAATGAAAATTAAATTGTCAATTCTTTACTCTTTTTCCCATTAAATGAAGAATTGAAGTCAATGAACATAAAAGGCGAAGCAATCTTTAAATTAACTTCATTGATTGTGGTTGAAAATGCAATTAATGTTATTCATTTTAAGATTGAAACTTTTGCTTTTTCATTTTTAAGTAAATTTTTTGCTCCAACAAAGTTTATGCATAAATATCATTCCCTGAGTTTACATCAATATTTAATAGACATTTTGCTTACATTTACTGTTCAAATCAACAATATGAAACATTAATTTTACTCAATTACTGTTCAAGTTAAATTAACTAAACAACATGAACAATTCACTAATTTAAAGATTAACATTTCTCACTAACAGGAAAGTCTGTTTACATTAATCAAGAAACCATTAGATGTAAACCTTTAACTAATCAACAAAATAGCTCTAATGTTTATCATCAACAATTACTGCCATTTAGTGCATAATGTGTGTAAATCTATTTGTAAGATGATAATGATGAGGAGAAGGAAAAATTAACACTCAAAATCTATCAACATTTGAAGCCAATTTAACCTGATTGAGTTGAACAAAAAAAACACTGTTCATCATTTCCATGTATCATCATGTAAACTTGCTTTTTTTGCTCTTCACTTTTTACTGTTACTTTTGTTTTCTTGTTCACACTTGATCCTTTCCTCATCACCATTATTATTACCTTTCAGATTTAAGGTTGTCTTGTAAAGTTAATCACCATCTGAACCCGAAAAAGGCGTTAATCAACTTGCATTATTATCATTTTCATGGTGGAATTGAATGAGAGGAAGAAGGAACAAAAAAGAGAGAGAAACTCAGAATACATAAATCAGTTTCTTCTTCATTATTCTGTTAACAAGGAAACTGTTTCTCGCCAGGTTCTCCTGCCTCTCAAGTCATATTGATACTTTCATAATAAGGTTGATGAATTGTGCCTAAAATAATGATTGAAACTAATGAGACTTTTTGTTTCACTTGTTGTCACTAGCAAAAGGTACAAAATTAATTTCCGCCCTTTCGAGTTTCCAATTGACTTCAACGTTCAATGGTCAATATTCAGTTATTTTGCATCATATCGAGACTTGGAAATTTGTTCAACTTGAACAATATCGACTGATAAAGTCGATTACTTTGTAGAACAAAGTTTACTAGGTTCTGACAAATTGCTTTCTTTAGTGTAGACTTTTGATCAAGGGTAAGTCTGGTGTCAGCAGTAACGGCAATTCCAGCTCCAATGTTGCTAATTGCTGAGGTTATTGGATTGAGGTCTAACGGTGTCATTGAATTAAGGATTGATTGGTAATGTTAGATTTCTTGCTTGTCTACAGATACTTGAACCTTCATTCCTCTTTCCTGCTGGTTATATTCAAAGTGTTTAGACAGAAAATTGCTCGATATTTGCTATCAATGCTCTTTACCGAGTGTTGATTCAAGCGATCAAGACTTTTCCCTTGAAAAACCAGAGTGCTCCAAGAATCCAAAACCTCAAAGTTATAAAGTGACTTAACCATCAAAGTTGATTAACTCTTGAGCTTCTGATTTCAAATGATAATGGCTGTGCAATGAACGGAGTAAATTTTCAATTTATAAATCCAACTCTAATACTTCACTCATTTAGTCTAGTTAGTCCTTATTTGCTAAGCCAGTTCAACCCTCAGTTCCAGTTAGGTTTAACTTTTAATTAAATCTTTATCTTTGGTTTTCATTTTGCCATCGTTCTGATTTTTCACTTCAATAAATTTATTTAAATTTGATAATTACTGCGTTACCTCGAAGCGAGATTTTATTTATTTCTGAGACTTTTGTTGTTCCCCAAGAAAGTCATTCTCATTGTGAAGAGTTGCTGTAAGATTGACACAATAATGGAGACATAAAGGGAAATAAAAGTCGCAAAGCTCAAGAAAAGTACACCAAGATTCAATTGTAAATCACTAAAGGGAATTAAAAGTGAGATGCAAACAATTGACATTTTTTTCTGGTTCGTTTTCCTTTGACATTCACTAGTGTTTACCATTATTTATTATTCATTTATAATGTTTAAATTGAATATATTTTAATACATTCAAATGTAATATTTATAAAGTGACTCTGAGTTTTAAACTTTTATACAAATGTTGACTTGAAAACAAAGCCTTAACTGATTGAACAATCAATCTTGCTTTTAACCGGATTAGATATTGTTAAATGATCGCAAATTATTGTTATAAATTGTTTTCAACATTTCCAAATCAATCATCATTACTCTCATGCATTATTCTGACGACCAATAAATATCAATTGAAATGAAGAAGCAAGTAAATTGAATAATCAAAGACAAGGATTGAGTGAAACAATTGCTCTGATAATCTGTGTCAGTTATTTGAGGTTAAAAGTCAATCAGAGAGGATTAAAAATGCTAATCAAATGAGCAATTCTTGTAAACAGATTAATATTTTATTATTCATTTTATCACTGAAAATGGTAGCACAAAGTGTTATATCAATATAATACATATGTTGAGCAATTATTCAATGTTTTACTGTTTACTTTCAACTAATCAAATAATGTTCAATTTTATGAATATTTATTCTTCTGATTATGCCTTCTAATCCAGTTTCGTGTTAAACCAATGTTTCAATTACAATAACAATGTAAATCAAGTTTCAGGGGAATCAAGAAGATTAACTAATAGCCAATTTTGAGTAAAATTTTGACGATTGAACCTTTAGTTCAAGTTTGTCCACCAAAAGAGTTGCTCTTCTCATTTGATTCAATTTAACTTTGCACTGCCAAATGAATTACTCTTAAGATTCAGATATAATTTTGAAACCGCATTTTTTGCCTTGGAATGAAAAACTCCAAAAAATGAAAAGTTCAAACACTTTTTAGTTTCAAATTCCTTCACCGTGGATGAAAAGTTCAAGTTTAAAGTGAAAAGTTGTTCTCAATTCTCGCTTAGAACTTCTTTTAAAGTCATTTTTGCATAATAATATCGATTTCATGTTTACGAAGTTTATGGAAATCGAGTTTCTTAATCGTTTGAAGAATATTTTTTACAGCTCATTACTTTTATCGTCTTCATGATCACATTGGTTTAACCCTGAAGATCAGTCAATATCTTCAGGCAAAGAGAGAAAATTAGTGGAAGAAATTCTTATTAAAGATATCTTAGCAAAAGAAAAGCAGAACTTTTCGATAAAAAGTTATTCATCAGAAGTCGATTCAATGATCTATGTTTATACGCAAGTTTGTCCAACGACTTGCTGTTCGTTGGAACGAAACTGAAGAAAAAGTTGCTCAAAATTTGTGATCTGTTTAAAGGCTTTTCATTTGAAAGGAAAAGGTTTTATTAATGCAAATATGCAATGTTTTTGAATCAGATGAAGTTTGAGCAACAATTGAAAAGATGAAAAATGAAAACATTTTTATCTCTAAAAGAATCGCAACTCTTTTCGTACAAAATAAAAGTAAACTTTATTTCTATTTATACTTTCAACTGTCAACTTTACACTAACATTGAAATTCATAGAGTTGCATGTTCTGATAATTAATCATTCCAAGAATCATGTCAACAAACCAACACTGAAATAATGATAATGTTTCATTGCATAATCCAACTTTTATTCATTCATCCAATGGCAACAAAAGCATTATAAATAGAGCTTGAATGGACCAGAAACGAGGAGAAAAGGGAAAACAAAATAAACCCAAAAACAAGAGCAAGAACTTAACTCAACTCAATGATTCTTGAAACTTTGGCTTTTCCTTCCGTTTCTTGGCTTTTCTTGCATTCGCTTCCGTTGCCTAACTCTTTTGGTCCAAAGAAGAAGAAGAAAAAGAAGAAGAAATTCAAGAAGAAAAAATTCCTTTCCTAATGCAACACACATTTGAATTGATGAAATTAATTTATTCAATATTATCTGTTGAACCTTTCCTCTTGCCAATCACATGAACCTCTAGACAGACTTTTATTAACTTATCATTCGACTATTGATATTGATTATCCAATACTATGCAATGAAAATTATGCTTTTATCCATTAACATCAACCTAATTTCAATATGAAAAACAGATTTGTTCATCAGATTGCTCAAGTTGCGGAAACTGGGAGAAGATTTGAAATGAAAAAAATCATTTTTCAGTCAGAAAATGAAACAAAAATTGGATTCTTAATTGTCTATGAAATGTTTTCAAACCTTTTTCAAGGTTTACTTCATTTTAAACTGTTTCATTATTTATATCAACTTACAAACTTTTCAACCTTTAACCTTTAGATTTACAGAGATCATTATAACATTTATTATCATTAAGATATTAATATTTATCATAATCATGAGCATTCCCTGTTATCCATTATTCCCTAATTCCTAAACCTTTTTTTTCTTCTCTAATTATCAACTTATCAGAATTGAAAATGAACATTAGCTGATAACCCTTTTCCCAAACCCAAAATTTACTTTATTTTGTTCAGAAATTTTGATGAGTTTAAATTGAAAATTTGGTTAAATTGTTCTGAAGAAACATTAAAATGATAGCCAAGATATCATGGATAATATTGGAATAAATATTCTGGTTTTGTTTCAAATTGAATTAAATTTCATTCTAATGTCAGTTTCAATGATGATTGGCACATTTGAAAGTTTCACAATGAAACTGAATGTTCATTATAAGTGAAGTTAAACTTTGAGAGCAATTTATCAAGATTAAGTCGGTAAGTGCTTAACATTTCATGAGAGTCATGATTAATTGTGATTGTAGACTTTATGCAAATGTTCATTTTCGACTCTTTGAATGCTCCAATGTTTATCAAATCAATTTTCGTCAATCTTGAAGTTTCTGAATTCTTGTTGAGCATCATGACCATCATTAGTTGGCAATATGGTGCAAAGAGTTTCATTAATGGCAAGTTGATTCAATTGATAAGTTGAGTTGATTTTAAAAGCCTTCAAGCTGTTTCAAGGAAAGTGCCTTGGAAGGTTGAACAAAAGGTCTAAACATGATAAATTGAGGGAAAAGACGATAATGATGATAAGCTGAGAAAGATGAGCATTGATGGGATGAAACTTGGGCAAGACTGAAGAAATGTTTAAATCTTTATTTGAAACAAATGAAAACATCTAAATAAGTTTATCTCAAAAGTAATACAAAGGAAAGGATAAAATCAATAACAGTTCAACTAGACTGAAGAGTTGATAAAAGAGAGAAAAAATGAAATCTGAAAGAATGAACAATTTTGTTCATTCTTTTTCCACCATTCTCTTAACAATAAGCTTAAATACCTTCTGGCTTTTTTTGTTTGTTTCATCTTTTCGAGTAACAATTTGAAATTATAAATACATGATAACAGGTTTGAATTGGCGATTGAACCAAAATGACAAAATTGAGTCAAATTTTGTTCTTTTTCTTTCTTCACTTAGCTTTTGTTTTTTCAAAGTTGAATATCAATAATGATGTGAAGAAGAAAATGTTCAGAAAAAAAAGCTAAACTTGATCGCAATAACCTGAACAGAATGTTGATATTATTTTAAATTTCAATCTTTTCCTCTGTTCCTTCATTTTCCATTTTCTGCTTTTCTCTTTATTGGACAGTTGTTTTATTAAATTTCAAGATGAATAACACTTTGGTCCAGAAGATTGTGAATATTTGCTTTTCCATTATTGATTGGTATTACAGCAAAAATCAGCTCATTTCGTCTCTTTTTCAATGAATTTAGGCGTTTTTTCAATCTTTTTAGGCAAATCTGTAAGTAAAGAAGCTTAAAGATTTTTACTTTTCTCTCAATTTAGGCATTTTTCATAGCTTTTAGGCAACTATTCATTGATTTTAGGCGAATGGGAAATGTTAGTATTTTTATTAATTTTCAATGACAAGTTTGTCCAAACATTTGATCAAATATGATTCCATATTACTAAAGTAATTTTTACAATGATCACTTGTTATTACTTCAGAGCATGAATTAACATTAGAATACAATTCATCTTCCGACTGAGACTCACTTCTTTTGATGTAATTTTTCCATTGAGAAAACAAATTCTCGATCGGGTTCAAGAATGGTGAATAAGGTGGCAAGAAAATCTGAATATGACCGCTATTAGCAAAAAGATCTTTAACAATTTGAGTTTTGTGAAATGGAACGTTGTCCATGATGACATAAGCATTAGAAATATTGGCGAGACTGAAATGTTCAAACAACTTTTCTAGGAATAAATTAAATTCTGACGCATTATATGGTGTATCTTTTAGCTCGAAAAAAAATAGCGATTCAGCACACATGGCAGCACAAACTGAGTAATTTCTAGACCTAATGCTTCGCACTTTTCTGTTAGCACGACTACCGATTAGTGATCGCCCATAATTCGTTCTTGAGTGAATCTGAATTCCAAATTCATCGATGAAAAAAATTTTCTCTCTTTGATGTTGAATTGAAATGAACTGACGAGCATAATCATATCTCTTTTCAATTGTTGTAGCATCATTCCTTCGCTCAGGAACCAAAGATACACGTTTGACGGAGTAATGAAATCCTTTAATTGCTCGATCCACTGTCGCTTGAGAAACATTTTTGTTCAATTCAACTCTGATTTTGTTGACAAGATCTTTTAATGTTAAACTGATGTTTTCATCCAACCATTCTTTGATCAAAATTTTGTCACTGTCATTCAACTTTGGAACCGTTCCACCTTTCTTCTTCTTTGTTACACGATTTTCTTTTATCCAAACACGCTCAATCGACTCGTATGTTTGCCTCTTTAATCCATATACAGAAATAATTTGTTCTTTAGGAACATTATTCCTTATCGATTGAACAATTGAAGCACGAACATCATTACTAATTGACTTATAAGGTCCACGACGCTTAATTACTTCACTCATAGCACAGGTTAAATGATGACTTTACAAGGTTGAAAACAAAGAAACCAACGACAATTTCAAATGAAAGGTTTGTCGGTTAGAACAAGGTTTATATTGTCCGAGTGTGATGCCTAAAATGAGTGCAAAGATGCCCAAAAGCTATGAAAAATGCCTAAATTGAGTGAAAAGTAAAAATCGCTAAGCTTCTTTTCTCAAAGATTTGCCCAAAAAGATTGAAAAAATGCCTAAATTCATTGAAAAAGAGACGAAATGAGCTGATTTTTGCTGTAAAACATGGTAAAAGGTGAAACAGTTTCAATGAGATAAACCTTGCAACATTCATGAAGAGTTCAAGGTGTGTTGAGAAATGAAACAAAAAACAGAAGATGGAAAATGTTGAAGAGAGGAAAAATTTGAAGTAAAAAAGTTTTGATGGAAAAATTGAGAGCGTTAAAAGTTCTGTTTGGAAAGAAGAAGATTCCGAGAAATTTCTGTATTCCATTCTCATTTCAATAGATTTGGTTTTTGATTCTTTTCATGTCAATGTTAATGTTCTGGAATTGCAAGAAATATATTTTCTCTCCTCTTTTCTGTTCAACTTTATATTATTAATAATACTTATCAGAATGAAATGAGATGTATTTTTACATTTTGTTTTCCTTTTTCCTTCAGATTGGAGGAAACTTTTTTTTCGATTCTCATTTTTCATTTTCCAACATTTTCCATTCTTAATCAACAGTTCACTGTTAACCATTCAGCTGATTTACACTCCCAGTCACTCCCTGTAACTCTATCCCTTGATCAATAAACAAACAATAAAATGATGATGTTGCTTGAGGTTTGAGAAATGATAATAACTTGTCAATCAATGAATTTTCCATGTTTCTGCATTTCTTTTTGCTTTTCTCAATTCTTTTTTTTCGCCAATTTTTTGAATAATCATTCAATTATTATTCGATTGTTGAATATCTTTCAAGTTGAGAGTGCAAACAATATTGTCAGGCAAACAAATTCCTCGCAAATTGTCATGAGAAAAATCATTTCCATTATAATCAGTCTATTCACATGGAAAGTGAAATATTGAATTGATGTGAAAAGTACTAATAATGATATGCACTTGATAAACAATGAATGAATGGGTTACGAAACTCATGATACTGCTCATTATTAATATATGCTTTACTGGCTTTTGTTCAATTGGTAATAGCTAGGCAAGATTCGAATTGTTTATCATCATTTTTATGTTCATCAAGTGTCCAAATAAGTTATTGAGTTATCACGATTTGCGTTGAAATGTTTGGCAAGTCCATCATAAGTAATTGGTTTGAATAATGCTTCGTTCTGACTCAGTTTTCAACTTGAGGAGGAAACTTGAAATGGATTGAGTTTCATTTGTCGACTAATGCGTTCTGCATTTCTATCAAAGCTTCAAAACTAATTTTTTCGTGCTTTTGCTGGTTAAAATGGTGAAGCTGGTTGTTCTCTTATGATTCAAAATGGTACAGAAAATGGAAAAGGACAGATAATCTTGCACAAATTGATTCCCGGCTCAAATTTGATTGACTTAACTGCTTTCATCGAATAATTTGAAACTCAAATCCGTAATTTAGCAGTAAATTGTTCCGTATTTCCTGTGCAAAACCTAAGCTGTTAGCATAACGTTTACGTTGATTAAGTTTGTGCATTATGGTCAAGTTTTGACTGCATAAATAGTGCTTTGCTAGAAAATAATGAATTTAGCAAATATTGATGGAAATTAAATATAAAGAAACCTGGATATTTGTGTTTAATTTCATGCTATTTAACATTGAAACTAGCTTGTCTTGTGTTTACATACACAAGCTTAACACCAAAGTTGTGAATCCAACAACCAAACCTTATTCATTATTCGTAAACAATCCATATTCAGAGCATTAGTACATGTGTACATATTTATTTACATTCATTAGCAGTTGCATATAAACAATCATAAGAATACCATTCCAAGCAAGATGAATCCCAATCTTCCTCAACATTGGGTACGTGCATTCAGTACTAAAGATTTGTCTTGAATCTCAAGCAAATCAAGACTTAACTTATAAGCAAATAGTTAGCAGTAATAATCGAAGAAACATCAACAATGAACGCTGAAATGATAATCAAACTCGTGAAATGCATTACATAACAAAATGTAAGGTCCTTCCAAAATTTACAATAAAAGCCTGAATAGTTCATTCTTAACGTTATATTTGGATCGCCCTTCCAATGAAGCTAATTAACGATGCGAGAGTTTTAGGTTGACATTACTGGAATGAGGTTGAAGTTGGTTCATAATTTAATCTGAATACGTTAATTAAGATTGTTGAGGTTGACTTTTTTAATTAAATAAATTAACTAACCTTTTGCCACTAATTTTCAACGAAAGTCTTTTAGCATCTTAATGCTTTTTAACCAAATTTACCTTTAAACCATTATCTTCATCTCCACCTAAACCAGCCTTGTGTCAGCCAACTAATGTTAATTGTAATGAATAATTATCGTTAATAATTAGCCGTAAAAAACAAAATGTTCAAAAATTGATTGAACTTTTTTTGCTCTTTCCGATTCTCCTTTTTTTGCTGATCCAACAAATGATGTTTGAAACACTTTCAACACATTTAATTACAGTAATGGGAAATGAGTTTTTTGCTGCTCTTGTAGCGTAAATTAAAGTGTAATATTTTTCGCAATATTAATCAAAGAGTTGAACTTCGCTAAATGTTAACATTTCAAGTGAATAGAAGCATTTCTCCCTGAATTGTTTCACATTATTGTTGCCTTGATTCAGTCGTTGAATATTTGCTCGACTAACAATGATTATGGTAAAAGTCAAGATGAATGTGATGAGTTGAATATTTCATGAGATGGTGAATGTAAAAGAATCTTGAAAGGAATAAGAATTGTCTAGCAAAGTTTACTGACCATTCCAAGCTTGTGTAAAGTTGAGAGCTTCTATCATTTATTTTGACCAGAAAAGTGCAACATTGAGCATAATTACAATTGCATTTCAATCGATATTAAAGTTTTAAAACCCTTTCAGAGTTGAATTGATTTACTATTCCAATAATCCGATAAACAGTGAAATGTTTTATAAAACCTCATGTCTTTACAGAGTACGAATATTAACAAAACACAAAATTGATTGACAGGACTTTGAAAATGTGGCTTTCCATTTGTCACACACTAGTAGCTGAATTTTGAGCCCAATTGCCAGATCTTTTCAGTCATTTATGTGTGTTATTATTGACTATTTGTTGTTTGCTAATAAGACGAGGGTTCCTAATGAACAAGTTTTGATTTGCTTGAGATTTAACGACCAGTCTCTAGCACTGAATGATCGTTGTTTTCAGTGTTTATGTGAAGGCAAAAGTTTGTTTTAAGCTTACAATTCAATAACAAGTTTTGCACAGAACGCGTTCATTCAGTATTACCAATATTGCTCTACATTTGTTTTCATCAATTCGCTGCTCTGCCTTACGATTGTTTCACTTACTGTTAAGTTAACAAATGTTAATGCATTTTAAATGCATCTTTAGCCTCCCTTCGGAGACATTTGACATATTTTATTTCAACCTAACATCTTATAACACTTACTAGTTCATCAATTGGATTAGAGGTAAACTCAGATTTAAATATCAACTCAAAGGTATTGAATGTCTTTCCACAAATCTTGCAAGTCGATCTAAAATTGATCTAATAATCATAAAAAGATTGAATCTTGACACTTATAAGCTTAAACATTTAGAGTGAACCTAGAAAATCGCTCAAAATACTGAACAGCAATGCTTCTAATGAACAAATGAATCTTGCAAGTTTAAGTCCAGATCGTGAAGCACATAAAAGGTTTACAACTTATTAGTCAATAAAACTGGTCATTTTGGTGAAAATGGCTAAAGGATGAGAAACGTTGGCAACTTTTAATTTTATGTTGAAAAATTTATGCAACTTTAGGCAAAACTGAATTGTAAAACTGGCAAGTTTCATAGATCGATACACCTTTTATGACTAATTAAATGTTTGCATTATTGAACAAATGCATTAAATTATTCTCTCCCAAGACTGTCTAATATTACCCTTTAGACAGTAATTATTTTCATCGGTAAAAAGTGGAAGGCAATAAAATATACTTTTTCTCTGTTCGTCTTTTACCTTTTTACTGGTTTACCTGGAAAACCTTTTTAGAACCATTATCTTTAACTAGAATGTGATTTAGCTATTTTTCACATTCTACTTTAATTAGTTCCGTTCGACAAAACCATTCCTATTATCATTCCATTTTACCTTTTCATTCATTGGTATTATTCATTAGATAAGAAGAGAAGGGAAAACTCCCAGTCAATAGCGTTGAAACTGCCAACATATTTCATTGTTTTCCCATTCAAATGTCATATTCATAATTAAACGAAACTTATTATTGGTATTAAACTTATTGTAATGTTAATTATTTGCATTTAATAACATGCATTTGGATGTGCTTCCATTCAACACTTTAAACACCATTTCACTCTGGTTGAGTTATTGAAAGTTCATCTTGGAACAGCAGATTGACAGAATATTTTTGCTTCGGTTGAGCTTTTTTGCAAGGAAAAGGTTTAGGCATGCAAGTTTCAAGTGATGATGAAGACATGACGTTAAGGAAACCAATTGTCCTAATCGTAAGTCCTTATTGCTGAAGGCATATTCATAGCTGTGCATGCAAAGCCTCAGGATTCATAGTTGCTCACAATTCAGGTTACACTAATCTATGCAGTAATTTATTCCCAAAGGTTATTAGTGGTTGTATGAAAAAATTGGTGAAAAGCTGAGCAATAAAAGTCGATGGATTCATTTTGTTACAAAAAATAGCGAGAAGTGAAAAGTTCTCAAATCAGATCTCTGTCTTAGATTTTGTTTTGTTTCGAGTGCTTGACAAACTGCTGAATGGCATTCCAATTTACCGTCAGCTAGTAAAGGTCAAAGGAAAAAATCAAATGAGTTAACGAACTAACAAGTTGTAAGTTTTA